CTAGTTCTCGCATGATAGATATGCACAATGTTGCAAAAGTTATTTATCAATCCTTCGAAGTGGAAATGTTTGTACTTTGCAATCATCAAGTTTAAATAAATGCAATAACACGATATGTGTTATTGAGAGAATTAGTGTTATTCTGGACAAAATTGATTTAAATTGCGTATTTAATTGTGTTTTTGTCCGCTTTGCACTGAAAAGCTCAGCATTAACTATGCAGAATTAGTTTAACCCCCGCGGATGGAATGTGAATTAATGGTTTGAATGACTTCAGGGAAGACTTTGCTGCATAAATAGGTGCGGTCGGTAGCAGAATGTGCTATTTTGGCAAATGACATGCGAGGCTGTCTGCCATAATTAATTATAATTTCAATTTTGCGGCTTGAGTGCACAAAATCTCAATTGACAAGATGATCAAAGCTCATTGCAAGGGTTTCGACGTTAATCGCAAAATGCCATTATAGCTGCCACCATGTGTAAAAGTCTATAGTGAATTGAGTTAAAAGTCAGGACATTATACGTCATCACGACTTTATTAACTTCACCACTATTGGAAGAGATCGTGAAGCTGGTGATTTTCCCATAAGGAGCATTTTCTCACCGACCCCAAATTTATAATTAATGCAATACACTCGAGGGTGGCTATAAAGTGAATTTGTGGCAATTCCATGTCACTCCCCACCGTAAATACACACGGAAACCTAATGTGTATGGGTTTCAGCATCGGGTCTTGGCTCTCTTCGCTTCGCCCTGCTGTGCAAAGTGCTCCGGCTCAATGGTTCAGTGACTTGTGTGAGAATCACGTGTTAAGATTTTTGATGCCAATAAATTATTAAAGGTGGCAATAAACGAATTGGATGTGTGTGGCGGCAGTAAAAACGTACCTTCGCCATGGGCCCACGTCGAAACGACGTACAAATGGAGCTTTTTCGACAGCCTCTGCATTTTCCACAATCCAACCGAATGCCTCCCAAAGCTCCACATAAAATTCCACCCATGTGAGTCTATCAGGACTCTGGCTTCTCGATTATGTGTAGACAAAACCCAGTTAAGGGGAAAACTAATCGAATTCCAATAGCGATTTTGCCTGTATAAACCTTTCAGGCGCGCTCTTTCAAACTTTGCAAGGCACTTTTTGTTGAAATACAATTTATAAAAATATCTCACTTTCGTGCAAATCTGTCTATTAACTCATCCTCGGAGACGTTAATATATTGATAGGGGGAATTTTTTTGGCTGTTGCCTTGAACTTTTCCGCGTGTTTCCGCGTCCTCGCCGCCTCGCAATATGAGGAGGAATTGGAAAATATCGGAAACCACAGTGGAATTCCGATCAGCTGTGGAGAATCCAGGCATGATGCCTGGGTAACTTTCCTCCCCCCCGCCCTGCCCAAGGCATAGATTGAAACTTTTTCCACCTTAAACAATGGAGCCATCAATTTACTACCTAATCGTGCAGAATTGCTCACAGAGGAATTATCGAGTCGTTTCCCCCGGTTTTTCCCTTAAATTATTCAAGAAGTTTCATCTATATGGCAAAAATATTTCGGCATATCGTGAGCACCATCCACGCTAAAGTATTTACACAAGATATCTGTTAAATTGCCGTGTGCATGTGATATGGAAGTTTTTCGCTGTGCCGCCGAGCGGCAGATTTGGGAGCGAGAATTCGTGATTTCTCAATACTTGGTCGCGGAGAGAGTGGGTGGGTAATCGTGCAGCACTTAATGAAAAATTCCCCCCGCCGACGCGCCGTGGGATGAGCTTTTGGGGGGAAAAGTCGCCGCAAAAGCGCTGCTCGCATTTCTGTGCGACATTTTCGTTGAATTTATTGACCACATTAAAGCCCCTCCTGAGCTATTCTGTGTTCGGTAGAACAGCGAATGAAATGGCGGATAATTAAAAAATAACACCGTTTGTAGGGTGCACTGAAATGCTTTATGATCACGAGGGTGATCGCTCTGATCTCGACAATCTTCTGGCGGTTTACAAGGAGCAAAAATTGTGTAAACTATGGTGTACAGCTTTACATGAAGTGTTAAGAATTGAAAATTTCTAAAACAACAAAATTAGGCATTTTCAAAAATATTATTTATCTAGAAAAATTAAAGTCAAGACAGAAATTTCTGAGGATCGAATCTTGAGACAAGATCTGTTCCTATAATCTGAAATCTAAGCAGGTGAAAAACCCAGATTATATAGAGATAAAAGCTAAAAATAAGTGTAAAGAATAGTTGAAGAAGTCGAAGAATGAATTAAAGTCTTTCAGAAGTGTCAGGAAGTGGTGTACAGATTAAAGGCATATAATCTCTCCCTTGGCAGTTTATAGACTTGGTTTATAGACGACGCAATATTGCTTCTCTGCAACTTTAAGCCTACAAATTTTGCTGAGTGAATGTCAGACAGAAAGACACCCAGGATTATCGGTAAATAATTATGTAGTTTACGGCACTCCTTTCGCCTTCCGGCGTTGATTTTAGACTGCAGGAAATGAGTTTTCCGCCTTCCTCGCATACTGAATTTGTCATACACTTCGCGACAGTGTTTTACAGCTTCATCAATTTGCTGTGAGTCACAATTACTCCGCTTCAGCCTATGTCGCTGAACAGTCCGCGGGATTCCACTTTTCCGTCTCACGGGAAAAGCTCAACGTCGGTGGGAATTTGCAGAAAAACATGAAATGAAATTTAGTTCAACCCCAGAAAAAGTCTGTGTTTAATGAACAGCATGACATAGTGGAAAGTGAACGGAAGTGTAGTTTGAGAGAGTGGAGAATAAAAAATCAGGAATTGTGTGAAATAAAAGGTCATAAACTGTAAACAAACTTCCCATAGGATGTTAATTAAAATGACAATAAACAAAGCGATTAGTTTAAAAATAATTTTTATTGACATAAAATTCATCGATAGCACGAAAATCACAAGCGGAATTTCCCAGTAGGGATTATATGGCGTGAGTATTAAATTTGAACAAAATGTTGATGCTATAAAAACTATACTGAAAATTCACTTTGATAGTGCGTTGGTGGATTAAATACGTGAAAATTGGTGTGTTTTGACGATGATAAAAATACACACCAAAGTGCTTTATATACCTTCACGTTCAATTTTGATGGCTTCACAATCAGTAATGGTCTGTAATATTTTATTTGATATCATCCATGAATAGCCTCAAATCCCTTGAAGCTCGCGCCGAAAAGTTCCACACTTTTTGTTGGCTATGGTGAACGCGTAAAAAGCGCGCCAGCATCGAGGTATGAAAATAGGCAATTAAAAGTGTGAATTTTACGACCTTTATCAGATACGCAAATTATGATATTTTCACACTCGGTGGTCAGAAAAAAGGGCTCCCGGCCCTCCGCCGTTGCGGTGCGTGCAATGAGAAAAAGCCAGCACAATAAATTTGTAATTTTGAGCATTTCATCGCTATTCCCACCCTTTTGGTCTGACACAAATAAATCTTCGCCTTTGTGGGGAGTTTCGAAGGCAATTAGGGGGGTGGAGGAAAGTTTTTCCAGGCCACTCTGGCCTGCTCCTTGGCGGAAGGGTTGCCATTCCACCCAATTGGGCGGGCTTCTGGGAACAGGAAAATATGCTGTGCGTGCGTCTGGCCAAATACACTCTGTGTGTCAGTTTGAGGTGAAATGGGACTGATTTTCCCGCTGATGAGAAACTCCTCTTTTTCCTTGGGTGCCAAGCTTTGGCGGGAACGCGAGCAGCCTTTGAGATATTGAGGATGTGAAAGTGGTGGAATGTATGGAACACGTCAATTTGGTCGGGATGTAATTATGATAAATTGCTGATGGTGGGAAAAAAAATCGGCACCGCAGAGATAATATATACTAGACATGAAAATGATTGATATATAAAGTTTTAATAGACCGCGTGTTTTGTGATTTTCCTTCATTTCCTTAATACACTCACATGGACACTGCTGCACTCGGGGAAATTCGTGTTCTTGATGCTTTCACATGCGTCTGGCAGATCTTAGTGCTGAAATTAATTAAAGAAATTCCAAGTTCGCACCTCAATCAACAGACACACGGCGACATAACAGCATTATAATGGATTAATTTTGAAATTGCATGCAGTAAAAGTTTCTGTGCTTGTTTAAATGCGTGTTTTGCCTCGTGGAAAAAAAATACTCTCCAACAACTCAATTTGGTGCCTTGGATGGCATAAAAATATGTAGCGGAATGTCATTTCAGCATTTCTTACTTTCTGAAGGAGTTTTAAAGATGACTGCGAAGGTGCAGAGCTTTTTCCACGCTATACGATAAAAGGTGAAAAGGTAGTTTGCCAAAGTTTCTGATTTTCGCAAATAATACATAAGTTTATGAAGAACTTTTCACCTGTGTTTACCTTCAACCCTGTGACTTATGGTGGGCACAGAGAAAATTGTTTGGGGTGGAATTTTCTGTTTAAAAATATGATTTTTGCAACTTATTGTATTTTCGTCGACGCTAGAGAGTCCCATTTGTATAATGGACTTTCAAGTGTTTTTCAGCTGGAAAAAAACTGTATTGAAATATTTATTGCGAGGGAAGTAAAAGTTGGGGCGCAAGTTATTAATATGCATTTATTGCAATTGTTTATAAACTTCGTCCGCTTATGCTCTTTTTTTCTGCTATTTTGCATACCTACTAGAGAGTCTCTATGGATAAAATGCTGTATAGTTCATCTTGATTACAATGCGGGATAAACAACAGGAATCAATATGATGGAATATCATGCAAAGTACACTATACACGTAACCTTATAATGTAGAAAGTACTGTCTCAATCACACTGTATCAGTGTATCGGCCGTCATTATGTTTAAATCTTATGGACATATCGAACTATCCTATACATCCTATATATATATATATACTTAAAACGGATAAATGCACAGTTGTTTGTGGGAAAATGAGGGACAGACAGTTATGTAGTGCTGATGTTGTACAAGCAAAGTTATGCTCAGTAATTTTATCATCACTATCACTAGATGGCAGAAAGAAATCAGTTGCCAACGCTCATGCTTGCCGTTACGATTCTAGCTAAGGGTGTCTTGAAGTTTCGACTATCTAAGTGCTTGATGGGTGGCCTGAAGGTCCTAACGCCCAAATTGGATCTCGCCGGAAGGAGAGTCACGAGTGGAGGCATCTTCGTTGTGGAGGATCTCCTCATCATCTCTTCAAATATCGCCGGATCGACCTCCTCGACTTCAGCCATGCCGGAAATTGTTTCCGACGATAGATTAGGGGTAGTTTCCGAAGATGATCGCACCAATATCACTTCGGTTTCCGTAGAAACCGAACTACTAGGGCTTTCAGTTGTTGATTTGATGGTTGTTGCGGGCTCTGTTGTCGTCATTCTGACCGTTGTTGTTGTTTCCCTTGTTAAACTCTCGGTGGTTGTTGACGGAGCTCGCGTTCGGTTCTTCTTGGACGTGAGGAACGGCGGCACTTTGCTGGCGATGTTGGGCGTGATTCCTAACTTGGAGGCCAGAGTGTCGAAAATGGCAGAAATGTTCTGAATGTTGCCGGAATCCTGCTTCTTCGATGTCAATTCCTGAAGTCTGTTGGGCTCCTGTTCCTGCTGTGAATTCTCAACAATCCAAGCCTGCAAAGTGTCATTGTAGATCCTCTTCATGGGAACAGTCTCAGGAACGAGCACAGATGATCCGTTGACAAACTCCCACTTAGTTTGGATGGGGAAGAGGGCTGGTGGCTCCCACGATGCTGGAGTGTAGTCCAGCGTCTCAACTTCCACATACGAAGATGTCGTGGTCGGCTCAATGGTTGAGTTTCCCGCAGTGGTGGTTGCACTCTCTACAGTCGCGGTGGAACTGGCGTTTCTGGCCATGTTGAGGACATGCTCGCGAATGTTGTTGAAGTTTATCTTCTCAGTGGTGCTCACTCCGTCCGTGAATCGTTCACCGCTGCTCAGCAAATCATAGAGGATATCTCCCAAATGGTCGGATTCCTCCACGCCATCCGGTGACAGGGTGGTGTCTTCATTATTCTCCACAGTTGACACTTCTGGCACGGCCTCGGCGCTCGAATTATTCTCTTGCGAAGCCTCCGTGGACTCAGACTTCTTCACAATCACTCCTCCGCCCAGATGCTCAAAACGATCTCCGTGCATGTGATAGTCGTCGTAGTTCACCTTCAGTCCAGAGCTCGGGTTGCGAATCACCTCTCCTTGATTCAACTGTCCCAGATTGCCAGCGTCCTCGTCATACAACTTATTCACCGGCAGCGGATAGGGTCTCACGTCGGCCGCCCCCAGTCGCTCAATGCCCATCGTTGTCGCCGAGAAGGATGGATTGGTGTAACTCTGGTAGTAGATGGGATGCGTCTTCTCCGTCGCCAGGATGTCTCCCCTATTCCTGTACACCACTTCCTCCTTCTTGGACGGAATCGTGGGCACCTTGGCGATGGGTGTCTCCTCGGTGGGTTTCCTGGACGGAGTGGACGGATTGATGGGACGCCATGGCTCGCGATCCAGCACTGGAGAGCTTGTGAAGAGATTCACATCCAGCTTCGGAGGGTTTTTGTTATTGGCGCCAGTCTCGTGACTTGAATCCTCTTTCGCCTCTTCGGTGCTCACTTGACTAGCACTCTCTGTGGTCGATGAAGCGGCAATTGAGGGAGTGTCACTTATCGTCTCCAGCCTCTCTGTGGTGCTCGTTGTGCTCTCGGTACTCGTCACGGGTGTCACAGTCACGGGAGCTGTGGTTGTAGTGCGCACGGGATTCTCCACTTTATCCACCTGTTGTGAATCAGAAAAGTAGATAAGCTCTCTCATATCTTAAGCAGCGGTGCAGTGATTTAATTACTACTTGAACTCGGCGTAAACCTACCTTTCCCACATTGTGAGTCCGCGTGGCGTTAACCTTTTCCACTGTGGAGACAGCAGCACCCTTCTTTGACGAACTCTTCACTTTAATTGTGGCATGATTGACGATTGGTTTCAGTGTGACGCCCGTCGCGACGTCGGTGGTGCCCACTGTTGGAGTGGAATAATCCTTCCTGTATGTCAGGTCCGCCTCGGTCTTCGTGATTTCATATGAGCCCTGAATAACTGATGGGGTGCTGTTAGTGGGCTTGGGCGTCTGTCGCGTCGTTGACGATGAAAACTTGTGTATTGTCTTCTCGATGACACCCGATTTTTTCGTGATGCGCTCATCAAAGGCCGGTGTGACTCTGGTGGTGGTCTCGGTTGCCATCTGCAGGAGAGACAGAAGAGGAAATGGCAGTGACATGCAATGCATTCGGTCACATGCTGGCAATTGTTCAACATGCAAAATTGCTCTGTACTCACATCGATCTCCCTGACAAATGACGACGACTTGAGCGCCTCAACATCCAGCGATCGCTTCACCTCAATCGAGTCGGGGTCTATTTTAATGTTCCTGAAGGATGAGTTTGAGGACGTGACTTCGTTCAGCAGCGAATTCTTTATGTGCTCCTCCACATTCGTCATTGTCCTGCAATGTGAAACAAATTGAATATTAAAGCATGAGATATTGCTGAGTGGAGCGATGCAATTGAAAAATTCCCCAATTACTCCCTTCATTGTCGCTCATTTGCAATTTCATATGCTTTATTGCGAATGTCGCCTCTGCAATTTGCGCAAAAATGCGGAGAGTCGAAGAGGCGACAGTGGAACTCGCGAATGTATTTTCTCCCAAAATGTTACACTAAATTACACCACAGCTATTGCATCTCTTCTTGACTCTTATTTTCACCGTGACTCCTTATGAATAAGAATTGAGTGGCATTTGTAATATTCTCGCTGGAAATGACTGAAGAAAAATCTCAAATTCCTTACATGTTGAATTTGCGACTGTTTACAAATCGGTTGTAACTTTTCACACATTCCGTGGGAAGCTCGTTTCCGATGTGGAGCAATAATTCGTGGCAAAGTCAACAACCCTTTTGCCCTACTTCACTCTTCACGGAATTGCACTGCCAAATGTCTCTTCGCTTTTATGAGGAGTGCATACGAAATTACATTACTTCAAATATTTTCAAGAAAAACACAGCATTTTTACTCTGAGTCTGTCAATGGGAGTGATAGTGGCACAGGAGGGAAAATAGAGCGATTTTCACTCAGACTAGGAATGCTAAACACACATGAAAGGTTCAGGATGGCGATTGTGTCAAAAATTTACCACTTGTAATTTTTTTTTATTCTGGATCACACATTTTAAAGAACATCTGAGTAATCATGGAAAATTTCGCCCTATTCATTCTTATACAGAATGTTCAATTGCTTCAAACTCTCTAAAACGCTGTTTTAGCGAGAACACAAATCGTGTTTTATCTTGCTAATTTTGAATGTTAAACTCTTGCATGTTTAAAGTTAAACATACACGTGTTTGACTGGGAAACGCTCCATAAGTTTAAAATACTTACATGGGAGGTGAGCTTTTGATGTCGACAAACACCCTAAAGTTGACATTGATCAGAGGTCCACTGCCGAATCCCATCACGTCGCATCTAGTGGTCCTGAGACCTCCGCTGACCATTGCATTGTCAACGAGACGCTCGTAGAACTGCTGCTTCTGCCGGAAAGCTGACGTGTGGTTATATTTGAGGCCCGTGGTGTACATGTCGCCGCGCATCACTTGGAATGAGCCGTCGAACACGAGCAACGCTGCGAAAATACGCGATAACTCAGCTATTTTGCATACAACACGCTCAACCCGGGATGTGTTTGCTCTCCACGACTCAGCACTATTCGCTACGCTGATGCATCTCGCAATCCCGGGGGTGGCGGAGTACTTCCCGGATTATGCCGCGTACACAAACAGCATATTGTCATGTTCGGCGCCGGGGAAATTTCACACACTCACGACCTACAAAATCAATTTGTAGGTCTTCGCGCCCTGCAAATATCTCAGCGTATCCCCCACACCTCCACCCCGTCGCCCCCTTGGCGGGAAATGTAATTGAGATTTTACATAAACTTATGCGTCAGTGGGAATTGATTGATGGAGAAATATCGTGTCTTCTATTGTGAGGAAATTGGCGGAAGAATTTGTGCCGGAGTGAAAATTCATCCCGGGGGTTGGCGAACACGGCAGTGCGGGAAGGCAATACTCACAGTCATCCATTTCCGAGCGAAACGTGCTGAAGTAGAAGGCCAATCCGGCGACTGAGAGCACCGCCAGGACCACGATAAAAGCGGCAGTCATCAGGATTATTGAAAAGGATTTCACACCACGTTTTTTCGTTGATGACAACGCCGATAGTGACAAATTGGCAGAATCCCGCCATAAGCCCCACGAATTGTACCCGTAGTGGCTGCTGAGGCTGTGGTCGGTCGGGTAGGAGTATTTGTTGGTCATGTGGGTGTAGGGATTGAGGGTGGAGCGCCGTCCCATCGTGTTGTGGTACGATGTGTAATCGTGCGACTGCAAAGAAGAGCACAAGACATGTTTATAGTGCGATATTCATCTTCAGTACGGCAAGAGGCGCAGTTATGCTTTTATATTTCTGCAATGGCTTCAGCCGGATGGTGTCGCTGCTAAATTGCAGCCCGCCGTGGAGGACCGCATACCTTTTAAAAATTCCATCCCCTGAATCCAAAGTGGGTCCCAGGCTGGAATAACAGGCCGGCGGAGGCTTGGCGTAAGACAATCATAAATTTGCCTCTTCAAATATTAACGAAAGGAGAGAAACCAACCGGCAAACATTGTTAATTATTTAAACACACACTCAATCCCCATCGTCCTTCCCCATGGAAGATGAGGACGTAAGACCGGGGCTCCATGTTTGCTGCTGAGACCAACACAAAAGTATTATGTGAAAGTACATACAAGAAATTCTTGATGTATGCAAACAAGGAATGTTTTGTTCTCGCGTCCCACCCTTCGGGCCACAGAGGCGGCTGAAGACAAAATCGAGGCGGAATTACTTCCTTGGCATTTCTGTCGCACCGACAGTCTCCAAAGTGCATTGTCGGTGCCATTCATCTGAGCATTTGGTGCGCCAATCTCTTCATTCCATTGTCAATTATTCACATTTTATATGTATTGATAAGGTCTCTCTGCCTGGCATGGCAGAACTTCAGCACAATACTCAGCTTGAGATGCATTAAGAGACTTGTTAGTTGCTGTAATTGGCTCTTGCTGGGCGACTTCAAAATTAAACTTCTCGATAATTGCAAAGGTAGAAGGGATTAAAAAGTTTCAGTGGATGATTAAATTAAGGTATGCCTTAATTTACAGAAATATTTCCCTCTTCTTGAGTCACTCTTCGTGTGATCATAACTCTCTGGTCACACAAAAGCGTCCTGAAACTCACGATGTCCCAACTGATATGTGGGAATCAATGACGATATTGTCTAGGACACTTTCGTAAGGGTGAAAAGCAGTTAAATTTTGCATGTATCCTCGTTTGCTGGATGAGAAATGGTCGACATAAACGCAAAAGACTCATTGGAACTTTTATGATAACAACACCCCTTCCTTGCGCCTCGAGTTCTTTTCTTTCCGTCCCTCGGAAGCCACCCTCCTAGAGACACTACTTTTATGATTTATAAAAATACATATATATTTCTTTTTGATTGTTGCGGATAATTTACGTCGACAGATTATTTTTTGCTATAAATTTTCGCAATAAACAGCGGAAATTCCCACTGGCACTTTTGTTTGCTGAAATGGTAGAAGTTGTATTAAATATAAAATCACACTCAAACTGTCTCTTCGTCCTCCCTTTTTTGTATTTCACAGATACATAGCAAGTCGTTCAAGTTAAAATTAAGTCAAGTGGGTCAAGTCAATTGCACTTTAATTTAAATTGAAATCTCAATTGACAGTTTTTAATTATAAAGTTTTTCAGTTGCATCTAAAGTTGAAAGTGCAGCTAAAATATAAATATTGGTTGCGGAGTTTCCTGGGTGAAAATAAATTATATGATAATAAAAAATATATAATTGCTTTTTTTCACGGGCTCGTGAATGTCGAGGAAAAAAGACAGAGACTTCACTCGTGCTCATGCGACGTGACGCCACGCGAGAAAGAGCCTCGGATGCTGTATCTCGCCCACCTTTTGTATTCATGCCCACACCTGGTTCGTCGCGCTGCTCGCACGGTTTTTCCAGCGGGTGACAAAACGCACACAGGTAAAAAAGAGCCACCCTGTCAAAATGGACAGCCATTCTCTCGTCGATCAAAATGCATTGTGCAAATTTTCTTTTCTGCGCTGAAGCTCTTTCATGTCTCGCGAAGCTCTGAGCTGGAAAAATTGCGAATGGAGAAATAATGAAAAGTCCTCAATCACCCGTCCTGTTCCACTATCGTTCACCCCTCTTTCCTGGGCGCTGGCAGACGCTTTGAGGAGCGGAGTGAAATAATTCCATCGCCTTTAATGCAACCCATTTGCAGGGGAAGCCCTCTTTTATCATGCCACACTCTCTCCATGGCAAAATCGATGGAATAGTTGCAAAATCGGCTGGAGATGCTTCAAAGGGAGGAGGGTTCAAGTGGGCCATATTGGAAAATTCCTAACGCTCAAAAGCTCACACAAATACTATATATAGAAAGCAAATTTCACTGAGGGGAGCATAAAGATATAATGCATCATAGAATTATCAGTGCAAAAGTAAGCAAATAAACAGAAATGAGCAATTTCAATTGCAATCAGTTTCTACCTTGATAGGAATAAATGACGAAAGAGAAACCAAAGAGCCCTATTAAATCACTAAGCATAGAGCAATTTAATAATTTCTACTGCAAATGCACTTTCATTGACGCCATCTGAAGCGATATGCGAGAGGAAAGTATAATGATGTCGATAGTAAAATAATAATAGCGACTTCATAATGACAATATAGAAGGACGAGCCACTTTGCAGAAGTATTTCACCCCTTTGCACATGTGAGAATGATTCAAGCTTAAATTGTGACTCTTCCTCCATGCTTTTTACAGCCATGCTAAATATTACATGGGAAGAGGATTACACTCCTTACTTTATGGCGGTGCAGAGGAAACTCACACATTGTCTGGGGCAAGGGAAAACACATACAAGGCGAGGGCACTTGAGATATTCAAGAGGAGGAAAAACATCGGGATTATGTCTTACATGAGAGCGATATTAATCATACACTTTGCACGAGATGCTGAGAAAGGGTTGCTTTTTTGCTCAAAATAGGAATAACTGATTAATGGAAAAGTAATTATGGAAGATAACATGTCGATAGACGACAAAGAGAAGAGGAGAAAGCCAAGGGGTGTTTGCTCTCGTCAAGACATGCACTCTCAACGACTATAAGGAGAATATCAGCACGTCTTGTGTAATTCAGTTGAATTACGCTGGATTCCCATTAAAATTGACAAATGTTAAAATTCAAACATGCTTAACGTTCGAAATTAATAAGGAAAAACACGATTTGTATTCTCACTAAAACACCGTTAGGGAGTTTTAAACGATTGCATGTTATGTAAATGAAGAAAAATAATGAAGCTTCACAAGTTTATCTTTCATGTTGATGCTTGAAAATTCGAGCCACAATCACAGATTAATCTATCTTTACAACTTATTCTACAATCGAGAATTGTTTTAAAATAACACATTCAGAAGGTACAAATTGACTTAACACGTGTCATCCAAAATAGAGAAATACCACGAGTGGTTAGTTTTATTTAGTCAATCGCCATTTTAAGCCTCAGATTCCTTAGTTTGAGTGGGAATTGATCCGTATATTTAAAGCCTTTGGCAATGCAATGTCGAGACAGAATGTTCTCATTCGTGGTCGATTTCTCCTATTATGAATACCCCTTCTGGATGAGGTATGCTGACAATTATTTGTCGTCGTCAATACAATAATTGTCGCTCCATGGCCCCGAGGATGAGGAAGCTATTGGGACTTTTATGGCAATCCAGAGCACACATAGAGATAGTCCATAATATCTGCAGCATCATCATCAGAGTCAATTGGCAGGGAAGACATGTGCACGAGCAAAATGACACCACGAGCGTGTCTTGTAGGGAATATATATATGCAATAATAAAACAGGAGAGTCATGGCATAATGCAGTGTTTGATGAACGTCCAAGAATAACTATAAAAGCGATAATTAAAATTTCATTAGTGGGGCTTTTAATGCTGGCAGAATTCATTCCGCACCGTAATGGTTCTTTGCTCTTTTGGCTCTTAATACACACATTACATATGGATTATGTGTGATTTTGCCGCTGCTCCGCACTGTTAGCATGGTCTCTCGTTGGATTAAGCATTAATTATGCTGCGCAGAGCTGACATTAATATGGAATGCATATTAAAAGAATTTTGCGCCCAATTCACACACCCTTCGGAGCTGCAATGCTCCTTCATTTCAATACAGTGTTGCATGCATTCGGCATACAAATGAGCGCAAAAGTGTCAAAGTGGGAGCTTCGGGTAATTTGGGGGAGTCATTTGTCTTCTCGTTCTCATTACCTATTAAATTGTGTGGCTGAGCAGTAATTTTTGGCACTCTACGGAACAATAAAATTTACACACAACTCCTCTCTTCCAAGTGCCCTCAACCGAGCGCTGGAAATGGTATAAACTCTAACGGGACACACATAAAGAAGATGATGAACTCTGAAAGTGATTTGAAGAATTTTACAGACAACATCGGAAACCACATTCCACTTCCACAGTCATCTTCGTGTGTCTTCCATGGCGATGGGTATTAAATAGTCGAAATTACCGTGATCATCAACTTCTCTCGCGCTCTCCACCTTGTCGCCTGTTGTGGCGTGCAGAGACAAAAGCGACAATTTGTTGATTGATTGAGAAGAGATGTAAAATGGAGCGTTCCATAATGAAATTCTCGAGTGTTATGCATCTCATTTGTGTATCCAGATCACACAACAGTTCATTCTTTTCCCATATATGGGGAGGGGGGAGAGAAAAACAACACAGCGCCCTGACGAGTTGCATTGCAGGAGCGCAAGAAAGAGGTGTTGATGCTAATGAAGCTCTTGCCATGGGAGCCACGGATGTTGGCAGGGAAATTGCAGAAAAATAGAAGAAAGGTAATTAGACGGCATGAGATGGTGTGTATTGATTAAATTAATACGTACGATTATTGCTCGTGGGGAGAAGAGAATGGCACGTAAAAAAAGTGAAGAAGAGCTCAAATGTGTGAATTTATCCGGCAGGAATTCCAAGTCGAGCGATATAAAGTGCGCGCGCTCTCGAAATGAAGTCAAGCAGCAAAAACTCTACACTGTTCATTGAACTTGAACAGCATTTGGAAGAGTCAAGAGTACAAGTTATGTAATTTATAAATCTCCAAAGTGTTTGAATAAAGTTTCTGGTGCCCGAGAAGGTGAACTGCCGGCGTGGGCGGGAAGTGCAGTGAAGTTGAACACGTTCTCGCGCACTCCCTATTCTTGACTATGTGCTCGCCAAATTGTTGCCACAGAATTATGGACTTTCCACCCTCCAAATCCTCCAAATGATTTACTAATGCGTCTCTTCGCGAGCCACGTGTGGCGCATAGTTCACTCGCACTGCAAGTGGCGTTTCTGTGTTTTCTTTTTCACTCAACTGTTACGCATGTTCTTGCAAAAGTAACAGTTTTTGTGTAAAAAATACATCAGAATTTTACACTTGGCTTACCCAGAAAGACTGTAGTAAGTGTTTATTTACCGATTTGCATAATCTTCTGGGGTAAATAAAAGCACTCTGTCAATAGAGAGTTGGAAAAACAAAATTCTGTGATATTTTTGCTGCTTCAAAGTCTTCAAATCACCAACCAATTCCAAGATAATTTATCACAGTCATCTTTTCACGGATTATAACCTGAGATTGGCATTTTCAGTGCAGCGATTTTTCCAAGAATTCCGGAATTAGACTCATTTGACAGGCTCACCTAAAGCCGGAATCAGATATGAGTTTGTAAAATTAATTTTTAACAGTACTACTGGTTCTGCACTTCTCACAAGAAACAGCATTTGGCGATGTATTTCACCTTCGTCCCAATTTATCTTCACCTCTCTCTATCGCTCTCGCTCTCCTTCCTGCGCGATTTCCTCCTCAGCCCCTCCTTATTTTAAGGCTATTTCCTCTGCATTTCACCCAAAGTCTTCCGGAGCAATTTTTTTTCGGCCAACCAAGAGCAATTCGCACAAATATTTTATGGCACTGAAACTGCTCCTTCGCTCGGTGGGATTTTCGTATGTATTCTTTGTATATAAGTGAGAAAAAAAAGTGGATGTAGGACAAGATAGGCAAAGGTGAAAATTCACGTTAGAATGCACAGGATCCCATTCAGGCCATAATCCATTCAGATATGAGGCAGGGAAGCATTATACGCCATTCCTCAAAGTTTCACGTGAGAGCAGAACTCTTGAGAGTTGAATTAATTAATAAAAAAGAACCACACAATCATAAGCCGTTATATAAGTTGTATTGTATCGTGCTTTTCGTGTGCTGCTCAGCTGTGCCTCCCAGTGATGATCATGATTCTGTTTAGCCATTCAGACTATGGTTTCTCATACATATTTTCAGCAGAATATCTCTCGGTGCTGAGCTGGGAGCGAATGTAGGTCACACTGGCCAGTTTCAGAGGAGCAACAGCATTATTCAGCTCAAAACTCAAGACCACATTGCATTCTTTCATAGCATTATGCTTTGCACTCTGAGTGCATGGCAAATTGCAGATGCGGGAAACAAGACGACAGAGTCTATGACTTATAGCCAGTGCTCTCTAGCCCAAATATCGTGGTCCATTCGTCTGGAATCTTTTGCAACACAGAGAAATGAAAATACCCACAAATCTTCATGTTTTTACCGTTTTTTCCTTTCGCGTTGAATGGCTGAGAATGATCACACAAAAAAAAACATTGGAAACCCGCTTAAATATTCTCCCCTCAAATGTGAAGATGTTTCCTGAATGAGGCGCAAGAATGCTTGAAAGAATCGCATTGAGAAGTGTTGCTGAACCCTTGAGTGGCGCACATCAGCTGTGAAACACGCAGGCAAAGTGTTTAAGAATTTGCGCGCTTCTGCAGTAATTGATAAAAGTTTAATTTCCTGGGTTGGCGCATTATTGTTACCTTGCAAACCCAGAGTGGATTAAATCGCCACTCTTTCCACTCTTGGGAGCAAATCTAGTGAATTTTCGGTATGCGGAGGTGTATTAAGAAGTCAGTGAGATTATTCGAGGCTCCGCAACTCAAACTTGAGTTTTCTCGTCTAATCAAAGTTTGTGGCGTGGGTGTTTTGCGGCGGAGAGTTTGGCGGGAGTTGAAGTGAGTCTGCTAGTTTGGGAGGGTGGATGGAAAGCATACTTCCCCCAATATCATGTTATTTCAATTAGGCGATAGAGGATTATGACTCAACTTTTCCCTGATGTAACCCATATTCTCGCCCTCGAACCACTTCTCGACACACTGCAGAAATTTCTCACGACGTGCGGAGAAAAATTGTCTCGAGCAGCCGAGAAAGAGAACATCCGATGGTTCTTGGCATAGAAAATCACATTGGATATTTGTATAACAGATTTTTCCGTCCAGTATCGCAGGGGAAAAAAAAACTAAAAGTTACCCTGATTTATGAGACATCGTAAAAGCATTCCGCGAGGCACACTGTTTACCATGTCAATTGTTATGTATCTCTAGATGAATGACACGCTGTGTAAAATGTCGACGGAGCAGTGTACATTATTATCCCAATCACCTGCTAATTGATATAAATGTGTTCGTAAATTTGTGATACATTTCAGCACAGACTTTAATAACATGCGGCATTAATCGGGGCAGAAATTAAAGTTCTTTTTTATACCACCAACAACGTCCAATATTAATTTGCATACTTATCTTCTCCCTCAGGCCACAAGATTTTAGTGAGTTCCACCATTCTGACCAACTGGGTCAATAGCCTCCGATCGGATAGATCAACGGACTGTGCGAATCCTAATATGTGCTGCCATTAATTTTCAGATGACATAATGGCAATGATTTGAATGTAATTCCACTTAAATTTATTCATATCACCACAATTCTTTCACTTAATTTTGTTAGCAATTAGAAAGGTAGTTCAGATGGATCCAAATAAACTGCTAAGCGTGCTCCATAAGATTATCGTTTATTGTTCATGCCGCAAAACTTCTGCATTATTAATGCCCCGATATAATTGATACAATTCAGAAGTTACGCATTTATGACCGAAGTCATAGAATTAACGCCGTGTATACATAAATTTGACCGCAAGAGCCTTTGCAGGTGAGCGCCTTATCGGTCTTGTTCCTGGAGGAGGGCATTATTCAAAAACGGTACACTCTCTGTTCTGGATAAAATCATCATTAGTGCTCTCTCGAGTGTTATTACGTGGAACTGCAAGTGCTCTGCCAATTGTTACGCAATGCTGAGAGGCGAGAGTGGCCAAGAGGGAGTCTTCGGGACGCGTAATTGCAGCACGGTGGCATCGAGGTGGCCACAGTGCTAATGCCACAGCTGTATGTTTGATATGAGGCGCCGCACTCACCAAGAATTGTCACCAGAACAAGGGAACGACGAAGGTGGGAGCCGAGAATGAATCTGGCGGCGGGTATTTTGAAAACAGTACAACTCTGCGCCCAGATTTAATTAAGAACACATCTGCACTAATGGGTTTTAGAAAGAGCAAAATTAAATGATAATTCAGCAGCAGATGTTCAAATTCGGCGACAATTACCGTAAGATGGTAAGAAAGTGGCCTCATTAGCAGTATCTTGTTAGGTTTTTCACTACACTGAGTGAAAGACAGCAAAAATTGGACGATTTTGAGTCCATCTAACACTTCTGGCCAAGGAGGAGATAATCTAGCTAAAATCTGAACACCACTTCCTGACACTTCCACAATTTGCATGAAAAATCATTAACACTTCCCAAGACTTCCAGGATCCAGGAATATTGTAAAAATTTAACACTTTCACTCCCTAAAACTTCTACTTCTTTCTATCTGTACACCACTTCTGGTCGAAATATCTCCCCCTTACTTTTGGCCGTTCTTTTTGAATACCTTGAGAATTAATGAAAACATGATTAATTAGGGCTAAAATTTCATGCCTTCTCACAATAACCAATTACGCATTTTTCAAATGTTCCACACATTTTTAATTGAATTAAAAGTATGAATTTATCCAGGCACACTCGTTTGTTACGTGAGTATTAAACGCCAAGAACATATAGAACGAAAGAATGGATTTTTCATAGCTACAATTGTAATCTAATGTCGCTTCCGCCACATTGGCTCTCATCTCGGCGCTGAATAATGGCAAAGAGGAGTGTATTGTCACCGTTGGCGTGCTATTTATCTGTGAATTGAAGCCATGATACGACGTTTCCCACAATTATTCACATTACAAATTCCTCAGACTGCGGTGGCATTGTCGGGGGCGCGAAGGGGAGGTGCAGAAGGAACAAGTGGAGACAAGAGTGAATAATATCACTGCCCACCCCGTGAAAACAATGAGCGATTGCCCTATCTCATATGCATGAAAACTTGCGGCAAGGTGACTGCACACCGGATATTAAATGGACAATTTAATAATGCAGAGTAATTGCAATATCTAGCATAATTGTTCACCTACCATTTGTCTAACTGTACTGGGGCTCCTGTAGTAGTCACTTCCTGCCGTGAGAGTTTGCAGGTATTTCTTGGTGCTGTAAACCGTGTCCATGGCTGCAGATGTGCCACCGAATGCAATATTGCACTCAGCAATGCTTTCGGCTTGCGAAGGAGATTTTTCACACTTGGCAGTAATTCACTATCACACTCCACCTTGTCATGGATTGGATAGATCGTATCGAAGGCAATTTTTCACTCAATCCTCACTGGATATTGTCTCGAGGAGGAATATTAAATGCACACTCCCAGTGTTTCTCCTTCACACTATAGAGTATGGTTTAACATTCATAACACAGACACATAATAATTTTGGGATGTACTTTTTACAGCGCTTCACTCATTATTTCCTCTCTGTCTTGCGTCTCTAAGCGTCTTCGCCACGGCAAGACAATCCACTGTCTGTGGTTATTGTTGTCACACTGGGTGGCTCAGGAGGGCTTCGGCTGAAAAGGTGTGAGAGAAGAAGGTATGAAACTCTCAAATCTAGGAGAACCGGATAGTCCTGTTTAATTAAAAGGTACACAGAGATAAAGATCGAGGGGTTTCTCAGCGCGACTGTCGCTGCGCTCGTGAGACGTGTTCCAAAATTTAAGCAGCACCAGCGCAGGTATTTTCGGCTGAGAAACCCGCCGAGTGCACAGCTGAAGGTGAGTAGTTGAAAAAAGCGAAAAGAAGTGGATTAAAGTAAATATAGAACTGGTGAGATAGAAGAGGCAGGAAAAAGAAGGTTTACTGCCAGCCAAGCTGCCAGCGAAGAGAAAATGTCCCAAAGAGACCAATTCCACTGTGTATATTTACTTTGGTGGCGCGTTGGCCCTCGTTGGGATGTCAAGTTCACTGCTCGGCCCAGTTCAATTGTCCACCTCGCCAAGTGACACCTGAAGCACTCAACACCATAATTCTCGCTCACAAGCAATGCACCGACCGTCTTAGCACTCCGCGATCGCACTGAAGAGTGGTCTTCCCGATCGATCCTCAGCCCATCAATCCGCCACTCAGTGGCTTCGGCGAAAGAACAGTTCTTCCACGGTCACAGAGTCGCGTGTAGAGTTTGTTCGTGTGTGAATGGAGCGGCCGGAGAGTGGCGAATGAATCAAAGTTCTGTAAAAGAGAACTGTTTAGGCTTGTCTCACCAAAGCAAGATCATACAAGAGGAGGTAGAGAACAATTGCCCCGTAATCAAGATCCACTCTTTCGCCAAGCATGTATTCTTGGTTCGTTGCCTCCTCGCGGGCACATTCATGTGTACCTCACCTCGCCTCTGATTAATCCCCAACACAGTGAGAGGTGCAATTTCTTCGCTCTGTCGTTCCTCCAATACTCTCTCCCGAGCTCACCGTCCGGAATTGAGTCCAGCAACACACTCTGGCTAATGTGCCATCGGGAGAAAGAGCGTCGCTCGTCATCCAGTGATGGAGAACCTTTCTTCACTGGTCGACCCGCGAGTCAACCTCTGCTGCCCTCGCGGTGAGAGTGAAAGACTCATCTTGCGCAGAATTCCTCAGCATCTCTGGCACAGCGAACAAAAGGTGGCCTCACTGTCATTAATTTGCGCTCACACAAGTTCTTGGCAAATTGCTCTGGGCTCTGCATGGACTCTCTGACGTGACTGAAGAAGATGTATTGGTCTATTAAAAGATTTCACGCAAAAAGCATTCCAGTGCGTTGAAATGAATAGGAATCGTTATGAGAAGTAGCCAATAATCGAGTCAATCATCAATCTCTGACTGATGGTTTCCGTGGAAGTCCCGTGGAAATCGAGGCACGAAGAGGGTTGGGCATTGATTAAGACAACAAGAGTGCGAGAAACTTTGAAGAACGAGAAAATAATCTTGTTTGTCGGTTTGATGTGATTCAATGCGAAGGGTTGTGCTTCCGAAGTACATTGTGATAATTTATCTGCAATATTTTGTCTTATAGCAAGCTTGATAAAAGTAGATGAGCATCATTTGTTTGAGAGGAGCATCAATTAAACAAATCTATATTTGTTTATTCGTACTTGACCGCTAAAGGAATGTTGCAACACCCTAACATAATTGATCATTCATATGCTAATCAGATCATGATTGCTATTCTGTACAATTCACTTATTATTATTTTCACATTACATCTTATTCCTTCATGTTCCCTATATTTTCTTCTATTTTTTCTGACTTCACTAAGCAAACGAAGTTGTAGAGTGTTGAAAAGGTGCTGTAGGTTTGCCACCACAGACTAGATTCTTGGCGCACACATTTGAATAGGTGAATCTGGATTTGGGTTCACTATTCCCATCGCCCCACCATTCGCGACATCAATCCAGCAAGAAGTTTTCCGCGCTGTGTCGAGGTTGTTGTTCTCCAGCTTCTTCGCCGCCGGATTGAGCAATGAACGGTACAAATAATTTTTACCATCCACAGCCAGAATCGTCACGTCAGTGAGCAAGAGCAAGAAGTGTTGAAAGTTTGCGAAAATGCAAATAAATTATTAGGCTGCTTCTAAGTAGTATTTGACACCTGAGAGGGTCGTGAAGAGACAGAAATTCACTGTGACACCGAGCTTGAATATTTGACGACAATGTGCCAGTCCTGCCGAGTGTTTGCCATTGTCGCAAATTGTATGTGGCATCTCTGTGGGCCAGTGGGAAGAAGTTGGATGTGTGCGCGGCACTGAAGCCAGGCGGCAGATGTGATGGAAAAAGCCGAGTGGCCGCTGGAAAGTGGCCGGCGAAGAGGTGGATTTTGGAGCTTCTCTGTGTGACGGAATTAATCAAAAACATCCCAAAACCACAAGAGTTTCGAGAAGTGCACTCCCACACGACCATGGCAATTTGCAACAGTGCACCATGCAGAAGATCAACACCGGCGAGCGGCGCTGATGCAGTCCTCCAAGAGCCCAGCGCGCCTCGGGCTAATTTCCCCAGTATTCATCCATAATTAATAAACTTTTCCCACCCTCTGACCTGTCGCGAGAACTTTTCAATACCCCAACATTTCAGATACACACATCACCACAGTGACGCCACAGCTTCAGGTACAATGCAAATTTGCCCAGTCTCGGCGGCGCAAAAGGCAACTCTGCAAAAATAATTGTCTCAGATTGCATAATTTACATCAACTTTTTCCAGCGCCAGCGAAAGGCCATGGAGTTTGTGCTAGAATATGCATATATATGTGAAACTTTCTTTGTGTGGAGAAACGGTTTTGCATAATTTGGTGTGTTTTTTTTCAGCGCTCTCAACTCGCTCTTGCATTTGATCCGGGCATCAATAAAGTCTCCCAAGGGATAAATAGCTAAACGAGTTGGTCGGCTATTGATTCCCGGATAACTCACGGTGCTTCATCTCCCACAGGACACCAATCGACCTCAATGCAGCCCTTCTGCACGCGGGACACGATGCGAAGTTACGGGAGTATTTCCCTAAGCTTTGCATATCACAACAACGTAATGAGGGCAGTTTGAACTTTGAAGTACTTTCTTGAGAATTTGTCAGATTGAATATGATTAGGACAAGGTGATTTGTATACCTGTTGGCCAGGAACGGGACTCGTGGCTGCAGTCAAAGACCCAGAGGCCGTCGTAAAATAAAATAATTGATAAATAAATCATGAGTTGTAATTACAATCATCCACGTTTCTCTACATCTTGTGCTTCACAATTTTATCGACTGTGTAATTATTTCGGCGCAAACTTCTCTTTTGAATGTGGAATGTCTCCTCATGCTCAAGCACCATCTTCACCTCAATAGATTTCGCCATGAAAATTGATTTACGTCCAAAAAGCATATGATAAATTGTGAATAGGGATTGGGAATTAATTTATCGCTCGAAAACACTGCAATAATTGCTGCGGAGGCTGTGAAGTGACAAGAGTGTGAGGTATTGATTTTAAGTACTGCCAACTACATGTTTAGGGTGGTCTATTGTTTAAAATGCTGGATGTTCATTCCCATTCATGCTTGTTCATTACACTCTTTCACCCTTATCGGTGTGGATTTTGATCAGAGTTGAACCCACAGTGTGAGAATTCTCTGAATTCAATCAACCCCAAGACAATAGACGGGGAATTGTGTGTGTTTTTGCACAGTTCACAGTGGATGGATGAGGAGTATAGTTATACTCTGGTAATTCACTCATTCTCGCAACATTGCAGATAAAAAGTCCTCTGGTAAATAAACCTGCCAGTTTATATGAGAAATGACAGAATATATGTATGAAAGTTCTTCAGTTTGAACTGGAAAACGAGGGAAAATATCATCGCAGTTCCGATGTAAACCCGAGTATCAAAAATTTATTTTATAGTGCAATATCAATTTAATAATACATAAAAGCATAACAAAAAGTTTTCATCCTTTGTTTCAAAGCTTAACGCATCAATTGAAAATGAGTACTTAGAATACTTTGAAGTACAGCATTTTAGGGATCATCCTATAATTTCTTCCTTGCTCCTTCAGTTTCGAAGGAGGAATGTATTTTCAGTCTTGTTTTCAGCGAAGGATGCAAAAAGCTGAATGGAAAATCCTTTAATAGTGCATGCTATGGAAGTTTTACGAAGTTTTCCATTAAAGTTTCGTCCATGGCGGGACTTTGGAGACTTGACGGATGCTGAATGCATATTTCAATAAGCTGCAACATTGAACAGAGTGGCATGGTGTGCTCGTCGACGTTGAAGTCTAATGAATAAACATGAGAATAATTCCTATAGGTGGACCACATAGCTAAGTAGATTCCGGGAATTCTGAGTGAATTTGTGCGAATTCTCTGGCTAAAGTGGCGGCTTCTGGCCACATCCCTTAATATTCAATCATCTGCATAGTTTTGTTAGGTGAATCATTTACCAACCGTAGCTAAATTGTGTGACACTCTCTCGTCAGATTTTCAGCACATTTCCCAATAATTCATTTTTTCATCCCACTATCGCTCGCAACTGTCACTGAACCTTAATTGAAAAGTCTGATACGGTCTGCAAAGCCGCAGTGAATTGCAACTGTGTTTTCTCCTCTGGGATAAGTGAATTATCACCTAAGCGAGATCAGGTGACTCCATTTGTGAGTCAAAGAGTTCATTTTTGGTTGTGTGCACAAAGATTAAAAACCACAAAACGGTACTCTCCTCCAGCCACAATAATTTATGACTTTTCGTCTCCCGTCGTGCATATTCTCTGGGTATAGTTTTCGGTCGCGAAAGGAGGAATGGCCATGTGTATCGCATAGAGAGACAGAATTGGAAACAAGTTCCGGAATTATTCAAATTGCTCCCCCGAGAAGGCGTGGAGGAGAAAAGGAGCTTTCTGAAAATTTCAATTCCAACAGTTTTTTTTTGCCTTCTTTATTTATATTTTACACAAATATACAGTCAGAGAAAGATATTAGAATCTCTCTTTGCATCTGCATATTTCCCTCTGCAGAATCGTATATTGTGTGGACGAGTGGGGGTGCGGGAAATGCATTTTTCATGAAAGTGTTTTAATTTTCATGACTGATAAGGGTGGGAATTTGCACCCGAGTTATTCACACAGAATCTCTTTCGCATTCGGGGAAAGGATTCCACCTCCCATCTCAATGGCCTGAAGAGAAAGAGAGAACAAATTGAATAAGGTAATTTTGAAAAAAGAGACAACCCGGACTGGTTTACCTGAACTACTGAACTGAATTTCCTTTTCCAGCTGGGCCACTTTGTGACCATTGAAATAGTCAAATGAAGACTCTCTCTGTTTGCAGAGAATTAGAATGACACTCCTACACCCCCGCACATGACCTCATTTCATGGCATTTCGAGCAGAAATAAAAATGAGCATTGTCTGGGAATAAAGCATGATGAAAAAAATGTCACAGCGTAAAACACCAAATGGACATTGAACTGAGAAAAATCTCTACATAATTCAATGCGTAATTCAATATGATTTCACGTGCACCGTAATATTTTGGACAATTTTAATTAAATCCCACAATTAATTAACATTCAATTAAATACAGAGCCTATAAAAATTATATCATTGATCACGAGCCATATTCATTGTGCCAATTAACTCATAAATATTTCCATTAGATTGCATGTTTTTTTTGCACATTCGCAACATTTCGCTTGTCATATCACACTATAATAACTCTATGTTCCAAAATCAATCAAATCGCAGTTTTTCCGCCTCTTGTCACGGTGAAAGATATTGAAAATGAGATATTTCCTCATAAAATAAACAGCAGAGTGAAAATTCTCGCCGGCGGAATCTCTTGAGAGTCAATAAAGAGGGAAAACGAATGACTTAAGACTCTATAAAATGCGGCAAAATGTTTTACAAATAGGCATAAAAGAATATGGGCATAAAATTCTATCAGAACACCTTTACAGGTCTCATGAGATTCACCGTTGGGCCAAATTTCTATGATAATCACATTTTTATTGACGACTGTTAGGGCTCCAGAAATATAATCTGTTGAATTGCCCAACACGCAGGAAACATAAAAAATTCTATCTTAACGATATCGAGTCTAAACTTCAGGATCTGCGAGGAGTGAAATTAGGAAATTTTTTGAACAGCGTGCTTAAAAGATTATCCTAAATTTGATCTCCTCCATGACAGAGTGCTGCAATTATGCTCCCAAAGTTCAACTGTGAACACATCTAATAGTCTCTCTCGGTAGTGAGACTTATCAACTAGAAAGACACTAATAACTACCGACTTAACTTGTGCTCATGAAAAGTTTCTCCATGGAACAGAAGATACTCTCAAATTCAGTTTGGAATTGGAAGCTCAGGGGAATTACGTTAGTGAAAATGTACTCGGCAAACACCAAACTTTATACATATGTACATACAGTTCATCGGGAAAAAATTAAAATTCACGCTAGACACTCTCTAACTTGTGTTTTGTCTCCTTTGCAAATAAAAAACTATATATATCGTTCAACCTCTGAATATTGAAGAGACTTTTACAAATAGAAGCATTTATTATTGCTCATGTTAGGCAAGTTATTCGCTCCATGTGGCACGGATGATTGCAATTTAGACATTTTCTCATTTTCCCATGTTGCATTCTTCAGTGTGGAAACAATGTTGGAAACATTCTCAAAGTTCCTCCTTGGATGACATTCAAAAATGGCACACAGAGACGGAAGGATCCATTGAAAGCTCCCTTTTGCCTGTCCCACATTCGTTTTCACATCGCTGCGAATATTTCCCATTTCGTGCTCACGGTGGGAAAATGTTGGGGTTCAGCTGGCGCGTATTTTCCATTTAAGTTTCGTGGAGCTTTTGTCTCCTCACACGTGGGAAGAACTTTCCGCTAAGGAGTGAATATTGAGTTTTTTCACTAATTGAGATTGAAGTTCTGCACAAGATTGCAGGAGTGTTTAAACTATTGGCAGGAGTAAAAACTTGAAGCAACATTAGTCATCGTTTAGCTTTCAGGTTGTGTTTGTTTCTTTTAAAATAAATTATTTCTATTCATCCTTAATGAAAAGAGGTCAAAATTTTATTGAGAAAATACACAAACGATACACAAATTTACGCTATATTATTGGAATTTGGACTTTGCTCAAGTTAAAGTGTTTATTTGACGTATTTCTCCCCCATATATTTCCTCCTTGGCGTCTGCAGTAAGGTGAGAACCTCATGTGGAACCCTTCAACTCATGGAAAAACACAAAACAGCGCACATTGTTCTCATATTGTGAATTACGTATTTAGTGAGTCAACGTAGAGTAAATCCCTAGTATTTTGGGGTTAGTAAAAAGTGCTCCAAGTTTCAACAATGAGTTGGATGAGACCCAGCAAAAATGCTTCACTCATTGTTTCGTAGCACACCAATACGTTTATTTATTAAGATTCATTCGGTTTCGCGTAGCATAGCGAAAATCGAGTGAATTCGCTGAGCAACACTATCGGTTAACCCTACAAACTCACCCCTTTTCACGTTGTTTCGTACTGTTTCTCGCAAACGTGGCTGTTGGTATATCTTCGACAGCATGTTTGCCACCACCATTGCTTGTCGAGGTCGAGGTTGAATAGCAAATGAATGAAAAGTCGTGCAAATACAAGAATGGATTTAGCACCATCGCGTGGAGAAGAGAAAAAAGTGCCTCACCGGCAAGATTAATGGGAAAATGGATGGAGAACAGCAGTTCAATTCATTGGGTTAAACCCTTTCCGCGCGATCGACACACTTCCCCACGATGACCATCACGGCAATTTTCGAGAAAATTACCAGCACGGGGTGGAGAAGGGCAAGGCCCGATACAAATCTGTAATATATGGGAATTATCTTACATACGAGATTCAATTCGAGGCAATTTCGTGATTGCCACTTAACCGTGTGTTATGTGTTTATCTTGATGTTGCGTTTGTTATTGTGATTAAAGAGATTAAATTAAAATTCTTCCACATCTCATGCAGAGTTGCAGAGACTCAGAATTGTCTGAATTTTTGACGAACTACAGAATTAACCTCCATTCTAAGCATCTCTCAACTCTGGCTCACATGAAAGATTTACCTCACGTCTGACAAAAGGTGGAATTCTTCCTCGAGTTGCTGATGGCTGAAATTGGAGAACAAAATAGGCAATCTTCTATTATTTGCTTTATTTCTTGGACAGAATTCTCCACTTTTTCCACGTCATACAACAATAGAACTCATATCTAAAGCGTAATTGCTGCATATGCGTAAATTATTCTATTCTTAACCAACTATTTCTCCTAGTCTCGTCGGAATAACCCATTATCTTGGCTATAATGTGAAATTTGCACACGAATATATAATACATTTCAGAGATGACGACATGAATATAATTCTAAACTAAACAATATACTTAGAGTTAAAAGTGTGGCATATAAAAAGTAGACGAGAAGGTGCACACAATACATAAAACAATGGCTACAACCGTTAAGACCTGTATAAGAACCCAGCAATCAAATCAATGAAATGTTCATACATATTTGCTGCATTTTCACATGAGCTCCTCCGTGGCAATCTCCCAAAGTGGGAGCTCCCCACCTGGCGGGTGCAACTTTCGCAGTGTGGCAGATGAATAATAGTGCCCCGAGGGCGGATCAATTGTGGCTGCGAGTGGGTAGATTTTCGCGCTTTCGGGCTGCTCACAGTACCTCTGAGAATGCCCGTGTAATTTCTCTAGAGCTCGAATTACAATTTCGGTTGTGCTCATCAGACCAATTCCAAAACTCAGCAGCGCTGATAAACGCGCGGAGAATGTAAAAATGCTAAATTATGAATTTGTTTACAAATTCCAGGACGTATTCATATTTTAATTCCGTTTTATGGGGCAAACAAGCGAAACCTGCAGATGCACTCAAAGAAAAGCATAGGGAAAATCTTCGAAATTGATTAGTAAAATAATCAAAGAGAAAATTATTTTTGAGAAAAACTTAATCTTTCACGACTGGATGAAACAGTTGCGAAAATCTAGAAACACAATTTCCTCTGACTACATATTTAGCATGGCGTCGCTGTGGTAAAATCTCCTTCTAACCACGGACAATTGCCAAGAAGGCTCATTTTAAAACATTTTCAACTATGCTTTGCGACATTTTACCCTGAATAGCCCATAAATTGCTCTGTAAAATATCATTTTAATTCGTGTCCTATGAATTTTCCACCTTCGCCACATTTCGTCCGTGAATTTCCCCAGACAACTCGCAAAGCATAATGTGTAATTTTCACGTGAAGGAGTTTTGAGCTTTCATGTGCGACAATTGTGCACAATGCTGCGGGTGAAAATGAAAAATAGTGCTTTTCCACCGTGCAACTGCAGGGCTTGAAACATTCCAAAAATAGACTTTAAGCAAATTCAACTTCAGTCAATTAGAGAGATAATATGCAATAGAAAGCTCTCCGGGTGAACTTTCAAGTATTCTCGCGTCGAGCGGGTGCGCGAGAGGGGGTGGCATTTCCAAGGGAATTTGCAAGTTGCACAAATGTTGCCCCAAATTCGCCCACTCTTGGTTCTTCACATGAGCACGAAAGGCTCTCATATTTTCCCCATATATCTCCCCCACAATGGCATGCGAAAGTGCAGTTGAGCTGCGCTATTGTGGTATCTTCTCGATGGCGTCCATGACAAATTGAAAGCCATGGACGGCAGTTGTGATCCAGCTGCTGTTTAGCGACGGCAACCAACTGCCTTCGGTGTCCGCTGGTGTTGTGTCCTCATCGAAGCTGCGTCCACCGGCCATGGCGCGTCCTCCGCCCAGATAATCAACATAATCATAATCGGAAACAATCGGATTAACCTTTGAATAGTAAATGGCTGCGAACGTTGAATAAATAATGAGGGCGGCAGTCGCCAACTGGAGAGAGAGAGAGAGAGAGAGAGATCAGGGTGAAAATCACAGTTTCAGTGGTGCTCTCGGTGGGTGGCACGCATAATTCTAATTATTATTATTAGTATAATGCGATCTGGCTATCTCGTCATCATGGCGTCTCGCTGTACAGACTCAGAGCTGCACTGGGAATTAATGCAACCGGCGTGATTTGCTGTGAAATTGAAATTTATTGCCTGCCTTCGCGTTAACTGTCCAACAACTAACTAAAGGATGATAAATAGTGCTGTTGCGTCACAACTTCAAATTACTGCACTTGCTAATGACTAAAAACGGCTAAAAGTCGAATAAGAGAGCGATATAAAGTTGTCGATTTCACTATAGATCCATTACGAACTCGTAAAATTACCCCAACAACCCTGGCAACACGCCCTTTTATGTGACAGAAACATATTCCCCAGAACAGAACACTGAACACTGTCTAGCAGTAATGATGTTGTTCCTCGTAATGCAATTACAAGCGATATGTTAATAAATTTAGTGCAACGCCCGATCCGTACCTGGAAGGCCGCCCAAAACTTGTACGATCCCTCCGTGATGACAAAGTCGTAGTATCCCTTCAGTGGGTCACCCTTGATGTAGCGTCCCTCGACTGTGGCCACTTCCGTGGTCGCTGCAGTGTCTGTGGGAGAGAACTTTGCTAGATTTCACACCATTCGCATTCATTAAGGCCAGATTATTGCACTGAGTGCCGTTTAACCCCATTTTCTCATCGTCGTTGTCACACCGGGAAAACCATTCTCATCACATGCAAACAAAGTCTTAAGTGAAATTTTCCACATAAACACCTTTTGCATGAAGTGCGATCTGAGCACAGAGCGGGATAATTAGGATTTTGACTAGCACTCCCGGGAGAGCTAGAATATGTGATGAGAATGTAATTACATATTATGCATTATAAAGAGGGTGAAATTTTTTATTTATTATGTATATCCAAGCAATCACGAATGCCATTTCCCCTCCGGATAGTTAATAATTTAAGTTTTAATATTCAACTCTCTGCAGGACTGAAAGGATTTTTATCTAGCGCCAATTATGTCGAAAGCGACCAATTTGGAGCAATTCGCGATGCATTTAATTATTCCATTCGATAATCTATAGCATTTTAATGCACATACTGGTAATTACTTCATATATTTTTAAACACGTCCTTTTGACACACCATCACATCAGAGCGTGCATTATGTACGATATGTAGATTATGTATTTATATATCTCGCGCTGAGCTTGTTAAAGCTCTTCGCTCGTCAGCAATCAATGCAATTATCCGGGCTTATGAACCCTCCTCCGCGAAGCAAGAAAGACACTCTAATGTGACTCCCTATCAGATGCTGAAAGGAATTTCTATATTGCAGATAAATAGCGAAAAAATCCTCGAGGAAGTAGATGGCACTGGAGATTGAAGGATAGCGAAAGGAATTTTTATATTGATTTCCTCCTCTTTCGCAAGCATCTATCTTATTAGGACTTGCAGTGGAAAAAAAATGTCAAAAACTTCCGTAAACTTCCTTTCTTCGGCCTTTGACGTTCTGGCAATATTGTGGCCAGCGTGTTAACGGGGAAATGACATTGTTTATTACCATCGGTGTCATCTCGAGGGGATCCAATTAGAGGCTCAGCACTATTTGCCGAGGAATTTCGTGCTAATTCCGGTGATTCTTGAGCTGTGGCTTCAGTGGTGTTTCGATGGGATTTGAGAGATCGAACCAGTGATACGACATTGCCAATGAAATTCACTGTGCTCTCCCATGAATTATTGCCACCGCGCCAGGAGTAGGGCGACCTGCCGCCCCCGGCGTCCCTCCTCCGCTCCGCCTTCTCCTCGTTATCCAGCCTGGCGGCCGCCTCGTCGTAGTCCTCAAGGCCCTGCTCATACCTGGTGGAAAAGGTGAGAAAAGCACGCAAGACTAATTAAAATGCAACACAATGTAAATCCACTAATGGACCATCTCGAGTATCATGTCTAAATGAATTCCCAGATCTCAGGTGGATGATGGTAAATTTATGCGTGAAATGGAAGATGGAACGATTCACTTTGTGAGATTTTCGGATAATTGCGTGGGTGAGTCGAAGGGGTGGGAGAAGATCACAGAAAAAGATGAAAATGTTGTGCGATAATTAACTATAAGAGTGGAGTTTCGTAAGCTCCACGAGAACTCTTCATTCGCACAAGAGCGCCAACTCAGTGACAAGAGCCTAAGCGAAATATAGGGCACGAATGGGGTGTCTGGGAGGGCCTCCTAATCTATTCACCCGTAAATTCGTAATGTAATTTCACTTTAAACAACACATTCGCATGTTTCATAATAATATCATTACTTGCATGTTATGAGTGTAGAGTAAATTACGAAGCAATTAAATTTCCCCAACTATGATACTGCGCACACACACACACAGGCACTTGTACATATGTATGACATTATTTTAAAGAGGGCGAAACATAATGCAAAAGCGAGTAAACATACGTTTAACTATTTGCAGAGTTTCGGTCTCTGCAACCCCACTTGGGCTACATTCACTGGAGACTCATTAAAATGGCTGCGAGCTTCAACTTTTTAGACGTCACCCCGTCTGCACTTTCCGCTGTGACCGCATTTTCAGCATTAAGCCCACCACAGTGTTCCTCGAATTGATACTTAGGCATGTCAATGGCTATTCACACATTCTCTATTTTTCTTTAAAACCTCGTTCTCTAAGGCATTTTGTGCCAAGGCGAGTCTTTAACAGAAATTCTCATATAATATTCCTTTTAAAATTGTCCAACTGCTGTTTCCTAAAAATTCACGCAATTAATTCTCTTTTGAATAACTGTCAGATATGAAATTTGGGTATAAAATAATGTGGTATATATAATATTTGTGGGTTTAGTATTATGTGTAGATTTTAATTTAAATAGCAACTCGAGCTGTGCAACAGCAACACTAATCCTATTCATTATTTCAATTAAACAGATTCAAACACGGCCGAATGGAACATTTCAATTAACAATATGTTATAATAATTGTATCTCTAAACTCGTGCTTTAGAGATACTTAAATCGCTTCATGATAAACATCCAGAATTAAACACGCATTTGTGGTGAACGACAAAATAACCGATTGTATAAAGTAGCTTCTCATTGACAACACTATATTTTCCCACTTGCAAACTAAGCTAGGCTCTCAATTGAAACTTTAAGAGGTTCATTAAAGTTTGCCCAACTCCGAGGGCGCAGAAGGTGGGCAGAGGCGGTTTGTGAAATAAAGCAGAGAGTGGATATAGAGAGGAAATAAATTTGTGTGGAAATGTCGGGGGAATTTTCTGTGTTGGGGTGGATTTGGGTCAACTTTGAGTCAAATTGGTGCTGAGAAAAATAAAAATTTCATTCGCCAAATCCCAACATCTGCAGCTAAGGAGCCAACTAGTCCGTGGCTCTCGGTTGCGGCTCAGGAGGTCGAAGGTGGTGTGGCAAAGTGCACTGCCGGAGGAGACAAAGGGAAGACATCCAGCGGAGCTCTTAAGGAGTTCCACACACACACATACGCGAGAGAAAGAGAAAGAGAAATGTAATGAAGGTGGGATGAGCTGTGGGAAAACTTCGACTGGGCGAGTGAGAGAGAGATTTTAAAAGTTGCCACGTGGAGGAGAAAAAGAAGTGGCAAGAATAAGTCCAATGTGATTCATTAGGAAAATGCATTGAGCCAAAGGTGGGTCTGCCAGTAAAATGCGATGCAAGTGAAACAGTGTAACTAATGAGGAGAAATGGAAGTGAGCCAAGTGGTGCAGAAGAGACGGACAGGAAAAAGTTTTGATTTCCTCCAAGAATCACCCACACTCCGGCGGCCACGAGGTATTCCATTGCCTGCACACTCTCAAATTCACGAGAAATTTAAGACGGAGAGGATAATAATTAAAGTTTCCACCATGACAGAGAGATTTATGCTTCATCTATTTTCTGTTTCTTGCACGTCTTTCGTGGCTTCGGGAAACAATAATATTGCCTGTATAAATCAATTGGGGCTCAATGATTTCCTCAGGTCTCGAGATGGGAATTCCAAGAAAACCCAGTAAAACATTGCTCTATTTCTGTACATATTTGCGAAATATTCATACACTGAGACAAAATACGACAATCATTTGCATTTCGCTGATAAAAGTTGAAAATCGGTTTCACAGGTTTTCACACAGTGGCGTCAAACAAGCTCAGAGTGGCACTCTATGCTCGGAACAAGGCTCGGAAAATGGGTGAAAATCACATCATAAATTGATGCAATTTTGATCTACACCACTGCTTTTAGCTAAGCCTCACGCGACGTTTCAGGCTTGTCCACGTCATATCTCACCCCCGCTTCGAAAGGGATATTCTTTTACCATAAATAATGTTACACTTGGAGATTTTCACAGAGTTATACACAGTTTCAACTCCATCTCCAGCACTAGGGATGCCTTTTGTGCCGGATCACGGCTCTGTGGCGATGGTGAGGGTTGTTCAGTGTGAAATCAACTACATACATCAAAAAGTTTTTCTTTTCAAACGGAACACTGCAGACTCCTTTCGTTATTTTGCTGGTGAAAGTTCAAAAGCGATGGATGAGAGGAGCTTCGAGGGGCGCCAAGGAAGTGATACACTCGGCGGAGATATATAATCTGAGAAACAACCCTCTCAGGCAAGTCCAGTGGGTGGTGCCGCCCCGTATCAGTTCAGGTGAGTATCCAAAGTCGGAATTCTAATAATAAATCATGGCAATAATTGCAGCGAAAGCACTCAATTCAATGTGAATCTTCTTTGCAGTTTGCTCAGCTATATGTGTCGGATTTCTGGCTGGGTTGAATTTTAAATTGAATTTCCACCCCACAAGCCATTCTCGGGTGCAGAGAGATCGCAACAGAAGCTCCCAATTTGGATCAGTGAATGCGGTACAGTTGGTGGTTTTGCTTCATCATATCTTGCCATTTGCGGTTGAATTTCCCCATTGCACGGCAAAAGCGGAACGGCGTGGTTTTTTTGGGAGGACAGCGGATAAAATGATGAGTGGGTGGGCGAAAGACTCACCTGGAGAGTCGCTTCGGCGGTGCACTTTCAATTTTCGGGGTGGTCGCCACACTGTATCTGCTGAAAGTGCCCTCGTCCATGCCCTCCTCGTTCGTGACCACATCCTGCCGCTCCGCCACTCTGTCCACATTTTCCTTCTCATTAAAATAATTATTTTAATTATTCATTATATGCGACAGAGTGCAGCTACAGTGAGGAGCAATACTGACCCAAAGGGGAATGAGAAAATTTCCGAACAAGAGAACCCTTTCAAAAGTATTCGACAATTCATCACGCTGAGTGACCTAATTTAATCAAAGCGCTAAATCTATGAAAAATGCTTGGAAAAATGACAATTTATCAGTTAGACAGCTAAATAAAATATTAAATCTTTATTCCACTTTTCTGGCCAAACAGATTGACGTTCGAAAACAATTTATTGATTAACGGTGAATTGGAATTCTTATATATGATATTCCTTATATAGAATATCATTGAGTGAGAGAGCTTAAAATATCTATCTCATAAACAACGAGCAATGAAGAGCGAGACCAAGAGCTTGTGTATTGCTGAAAAGGATAATTAAAATGGCTCTAATTTAATTTTCTCGCTCTTTTTTTATTCAAAAGGCTTAAACGAGAAATGGCACAAAATACACATGCCAATTAGTCATTAATTAGGCAATGTTGACGGTAAAATTTGAGACTCCAACTGAACATGAAATCAATGGCGACAATTAGGAGTAAAAATTTAATAAATCATGATAAAAGGCATAATTTTCCACTATTTATTCCTATTTGTGAGTGAAAATTAAAATTCTTCTGGTTTTGTTCAGCCAAAACTGATTCCCATGAATTTATACCGCAAAAGCATTTACCACACAAACACCTCAAATACTCTTCATACTTTGTTTGCCCAACTAATAAACCTCCTTTTAGCACTTAGGCTTACTCAACTGATGAATATTTGGTGGCAATAAAAGTGTTTCTTACACTTAATCAAATAAGACGGAATAAATCATCACGCTCAGTTATGCTCCTCACTGTATAGCTCTAGCGAGCTTTATTCCACACACCTGAAAAGCTCCTCTTACTGTAGCTTTCTCTGTGGCTACGGCTGTCGAGAGCATTGTAGTGCAGAAGCAGCAAATGACAAGGAAATTTAATACTTTTTCCATCATGACAGCTGGATATCCTCTCAATTACACCACTATATGTCTTCTAATTGTGCCTCCACGCTTTTTTTTTCGTTAGGACACTGCCATGCAAGGACAACACATAATAATGAGTCACAGGTCCTCTTGTATTTCTTGTCACCAGTTTCGTCACTTCATCATTATTAACGGTGGCAGGAGTCTAAGCCGTAATTTGCGACCGGGACAAATTCACAGAATGTCAGGAAATGTGTAATTGAAGCTTCGACGCTTTGGTGACACTGAACGAATGGCGAAATAGTATTGGGAAAGCACTCAGCCACACTGTGAATATGATGGTGATGGGTGAAACAATGAGCCACAATTGACACGATCCTCCACAAATCACAGCCACACTGAGAATGTTGATGGTCTCGGCGCTTTGTCAAAGTTCACAGCTTCGTTCTCAGAATTCCCTCCAGAACGACTCGCGCTCGGTGGAGCGATGGCGAAGAATCCCAAACCCCCGTGCTCTGCTTATCACGTAAAATCAATTATGACGATCTTGTGAATGTCCGGCTACCGTTAGGCCGCGATGATGAGCTCGGTGATGATCAATTGGGAGGCTGAGCTATTCTGGTCAGAATTTCAGTGACGCGTGGCGGCTTCTGGGACACTGCTCTAATTAGCTGTGCAAAGAAACAACAGTCGTCCCAATTCATATTGCAAAAGATCAGCTCGCCGTGCATATGAACGACTGCTCACCTGCACTTGAAGCGCAGGCGAGCCGAGGGAAAATATGTCGAATGCATAGCAATAAATTGTATGTGGACATTTTGGCAATAAAGTGCACTTAGTGATTGCTGGGCACAGCATTTGGCTCAATTCCCACTGGTTGGCAGTGGAAATGCAAGGAAGAAGCGACGAAAAAATAATATTTACAAAATGGATTTCAATAGTTTCAGAAACCGCGCCTTCATCCACAGAAAATCTTTATACTTTTCGCAAGGACAAATATTTGTGGAAAACAGCATTTTCTCGCGCGCTTGAGTAAGTCTAACAACAACAAATTGTTTGGCTATTACATTTTCCATTTTCTGTTGTGGTTTCATATATTTCAAATTTGAATTTAGACAAACCAACAACACTGTCAAATTGACTATTTAAAAATCAAGCATGCAAATTGTCCCCAAAGCGACAATTTTTCCAGACATGCTCAAGGGGAGAAATTGCAAATTGCTTAAACTTTCTCCATGACACACATTTCTTTTCCTACTTCTCCATACCAACTCATTAATCATGAAGATAATATTCAAATATCTCTGAATGGGTGGTAGTTTTAGTGCCGTAATTGGCCGCACTCCCGCAGTCTGGGTAACTTTAATTTCATACCATTGGGATTTATCCATCTGTACATTTTAATTGCACATCTAATTTCTTGTACGAAAATGCCATACATTTTGTCTCCACGGCGTGGCAAATGTACCGAGACACGGTTTAATTTGTCATGCTAAAATGGCACCGTATATATATCTCAAATTCTCCTCTCTCGTGAGCTTCTCATCCGCCAGGCAAACGGAGGAAGTTCTAGCTTTTTCCTCCTCATTTATCGCGCGCTAAAGACATTAGCGCAAGATTCCGGGTCGTTTTTTCCTCAATTTCCCCCCAAAAAGTGGAAGGAAAAAATCATTTGAATTATCTCTAAACAGTTATTTGTTAGAAAATCACCTTGTGAGTGAATAATTAGAAGAATTTTCACTTCTTATTTGACCAGTGAGAGAACGAGAGCATTTTTTCCTCTTCTTCACAGAAGGAGAATGGACTGATTTTCTCTGGGTTCGAGCAAAATATTTACTGTTATTGGCATTCTTTTCACCATATTAACTCTTCGTCTTCTCAAACAACGCGATTCTCTGTCTTGACTGTGTGACAAAGGACAAAATCGTGAAAGATTTATTTACTTTCAGTGTTTGGTTTTCATTCTGCATGGACACTGATGTGACTCTCTTCTGTCTTTCCCGTCTGAATACATTTTGCGCCCAACGATGATTTTATGTTTGCTGGGAAAGAGTCTGCACAAAAAACTACTTACAAAAGCTCTCTTCCTGCGTCGAGAGGCTTTCAATTCATCCGCACATTCACCCCCACCCCAAGCTTCTGCCCTCACTGCAAATAATGAAAATAATATGTTCTATGTGTTATGAGCAAAAAATCCCACATGAAGGACCAACAAGGTAGCATACAAAATGCATTCCCGAGTCAATAGCAAGTGCATATTTCGCGAACTTGAGCGCCCATTGTCCCGAAGAAGTGAGGCAGGAAAAAAGGAGCAGCGAAAGACGAGAGAAAGCGATTAAATTAAATTACAACTTCCGGATTCTTTAACATGTTTCGCTTCACCCATATTGCCATTTTAATGCGGATGGCGCAATTTGAAATTTAACACAACGCCAATAGACCCCTTTTCCACTCTCGAGCACATTTTTCAGCGCTCGCCTTTCGTCACACAACACCAAAGGCTGCCAGTGGTGTAGGATGCTAATACTAGCGAAATTCTGCGTTAAATCTTTATGTGGTTAAAAGCGCTTTTCTGTTCAGAAAGCTACATTTGCCGTTTTGTGTAATCCCCTTGAGGAATTATACTAATTTGAGTTTCGCATTTAAAAGAATTACACTGCGACGAATAGCTACCGACGTGCGGGAATAAAACATATCATATTTAAATACTGTAATCCTATAGTTTCGCTACGCCGCTGGTGTCGTGCCCACCCTCTGACCTCGTGCTGTGTGAAAAATTCCATAAGCTGTGACAAAGGTTGCCGCCACACACTCGCCCTAATGGCGGGTTTCCGCGCGAGGCGGCGATACTCGAGATTCTACAGTCCAGGACGAGGTGCAGGAGCTCGAGGACTCTCAGGAGCGACTGTCGCGCAAATGAATAAGACTCCCCACTGCGAGGTCTGAAGAGGTGACGTGACACGACAAGAGAGCGAAGTGAATAAATAACAAACCTCTGCAGGACTCTTTTCTGGATATTTCTTACTCATATAACAATTCCCATAGTCGAGAGGAAATCAAAGAGGGAAACTCAAGAGTTCCAATGGAGAATCGATTGACTTACAAAGTGATTTGAATTTCACTATCTTTTGAATATGAATGGAGAGATAAATGCAAGCTGAAGTGATATAATTCCACTCGAATGTCACAGTATTCTAATGGAAAAGCTTCATAATTGACGCTGATGAGACTGCAAACTCTATAAATTTTTCACTATTAATACCGCAAAAGCAAAATGACTCACTATCGACAGTCAAATCCAGATTAAATTACCATAGTTTGCTGAGCGACAATGGGCAAATTGAGTGACCATAAATTCTAGTGAAATGCAATCATGAAATTCAATTTTCATCAGAATTTATCCTTTGACGGCATCGCCCTGAGGCATCTTCGTCGCCTTCCTCAACAACTACACAGCCTCAATTACTCACTAATCACGTTCATCGGCAGACGAGTAGGGAAATTGGACGAATTTCGCGCCGGTAAAACGATAAATTGAGGGGCGGAAAACTCTATTTGCTTTTCATATCAAACCATTGATTGATGTCTGTTCCGAGGATGAATTTAAATAAGGACTGTGAATCTACTGTTCCACGTACAAATGCAGTGTACTTTCCACTGTGCGTTCGCACTTTTGTATTCACTTCTCAAAATTGAATTGACTTGAGCGCGCCTTGTGATGCTCTGGCTTAAACCTCAAGTGCCAAATATTTATTTAACCATCTTTCGAAGGAAATGTATTTCGAAGTCGTGCAAATAAAGTAGAAAACAGGACTTTTGTGTCTATTTCTATCGTTGTAGGAAAAGCCAAAAGCTATTTGGGTCATTCAATACTTCATGTCGCCCAATTAAGCTGAGAAAGGTCAGTCGTGAAGCTAATTGGCTGCACTTGATTGCCACTTCTGCACGAAATTCGCCGAATTTCACTGAACTTATCAAAGATGACCTCCAATTTCAGAGCTATACAGAGATTTTTATTTGAACATTTTCTGCAACTTTGATGGACACGATACGAGAAGAGAAGCTGCAATTTTCTATAGGACTGGTTTCATGCATTCCAAATCATTTCCTCAGTCAATTTTCATCACTGCCATTCCAAGAACAGAAATCCATTGTGATGAATACAGATGTGAAAAAGGTCATATAACTTTTGCAATGCATAAATTAAAACCTTCCAGTAATTTTCTCCCGCCAAATCCATTTGTAAAGTAATCACAAATCCGGTGATTTCTTCCGCGGATCGACAGAGAAGTCCTAATTCATTTAACGAGAGCAATTAATAGAGTTCAGCGCTGAGTGGTGCATAATAATTCGCGAAAGTGCTCAATTAAGAAATTCACCATTTAATAATTCTTCCTCAAAACAAAACACTTTAAATTCTTTGCAATATTGCAGCGATATTTCTTCACACAATTCTCTCTCTTTCAACCAGAGCGAATGTGTTGCAGAGAAATATGTGAAAAGTTTGATACAATTCTTGCACACCTCAGTCGAGGGGCGGTGGGATGGGGTGGGCGCTCTATTCAGTGGGAAAACAATGAGGCCCTTCAGAGAAGGGTCGTTGGTGACGCACACGAAAGCCCTATTGCAGAGTTGGGGACAATTCATTACACTCTGGGTCGCAAATGGCCAAATGTACAGATAAAATAGAAGTTCAGCATTCGCTCACTCTGCCCAACCCCTCGAATGCGAGGCCGGAGCGTCTGTGCAGCTAGAATTCTTGACCTATATATTGAGCAGAAGTCAATCAAGTGACCAAATGGAGATGGATGTCATATCGTGTCTAATTAGCGTCGTCTTCTTTGTGCCGTGCACAGTGCTAATTGCATAAGTAAGCAGAAATGGTTCGGATCAATCAGAGGATCCAGTTATTCTCGGTGACAAGATCCATGTTGGATGGCCAATGCTGAGATTGTCGTCAGTTCCGATGTGATATTGCACGAGATGATTGCGACGTCCCACCGCTGGTGTCTCCTCCTGCTCCTGCTGCCCTTGCTCGTGACTCCCGCCGCGGTGGGGCCGGCCACGGACGTCGAGGGCAGAGTGAAGAAGTACAGCTACTACTACATCAGCCGCAAACTGTACTACATCCCCCTCTTTTTCGTGGTCTACTGGGCATTCTACGTCTTCTGGCTCATCGTGCAATCCATCGCGAGGCACAAAGTATGATCGCGAAACCCCACAATCGGCTCAGGACTAAACAAATCTCACTATCCTAGGTCGAGACACCGCTGCACTGGAATCCCACACAGCGCCGCAGACGCACCATTGAGGCCCTCACGGTGTCTGTGATGGATCAAATGGAGGCATTCCGACAAAAGTTCCTGCATGACGAAGCGATAAAGACATAATAATAATTTGTGAAGAAAAGACCCAGTGTCTCTCTTTTTTCCCAATTAACACTGATCTCCCACCCCGAATGCCGGTCAGCAGGAGGGATTGTCACGGTCTGAGCCCAAGCCGAGTCGAAATGCTGTCGCAGTGTCTCCCTGGTTTGTCTCTACACCCTATTCCCCATCGCTCTCTCCCCGTCATGGACGCGCGTGTGCTTCTTGTGATCCTCCTGCTCACCCTCACCCTTCAGCCCGACCGATCCGTCACAGCAATGCCGAGTGGAACGGAGATGATTGACATTGCCCGGAAAACCATGGAATACAACTTCTTTCCTGTCTTCAAGAGGCCACTCAGAGTCATTCCTCTGGGATTCATGATCTTCCTGAGTTTCTACCTCTTGGGACTGGCCTTTAGGTCAATTCAACTCCACAGGGTGAGTTCTGGAACCTAAATTTAAAATTCTACCGTTTATCATTGAACATGTGAAGCGAAAACACAACAAGCGAAGAATTCAGAAGATTTAAAATGTCTCTATAAATATTCCTCAACAATGAAAAATACTTTTCTCACGGCACAATTCAATCTAACTTAATTTTTTGTCTAAAATCCTTAGCTGTTTTGATTTTTTTAATATCACTTTAGAGAATTTCACTAGTTTTCAACACATACAGTAGCGAAAATGAGTTTAGGTTTTCTACTGTCCTTTAAATGTCCGTAATTATAATTAACATTTTGCATCTCTTCTCAGGTGTACGATCCTCTCGATCAGTGACGCCGCCAAAGTTCATTTATGCTATAAGAATAGATTAATAAGGGTTTTGGCGCGGGAAAACTATACGGCATTTCATGAAGTGATACATTTTGTCTACAAAGTTCTCAAGTCTGCTCAGGCGAAGGAGTGATTCCTGGGTGCGCGCAGATGCTCCACATCGAGTGGAGGTGCAGAGCGCAAATTAACGCATTTCAGGGTGTTAATCTGTCGAGCGATTTGGGCGCGAAATGAGGTCAGAAGAGTGGCCCAGTTCTTGGGGCTCTTCGTGGTACCGTAATACAGTTTGAGGATCGTGATCATCGCCCCGGAGAGCGTGCGTCCAGGAGTGGGGCCGATAGTGGAATCTGGACTATTCGCGACGCGGTGTGGTCAGTTGACTTCTCGCGCGTCCATGGCACAGAGAGTCTGTCTTATCTTGCCCTGCGAGACACGCCAACATGACCAAGACTCTAGTGACGATCTTCGTGGCAGTGCTGTGGGCGAATACGCCAATTGCCGCGTACTCGCGAGTGGCCACAAATGGGAATATTGCCAACGACACGGATGCCGAGCAAGTCCACGGAGTATCGACTCTCCTCACGCCCGACCTCAACACCACCGAGACGCCCACCAGCACCACGCCAGTCCAGGAGACCGGGCGAGCGGCGGACTTGCGACCATTCAGACTTCCCTTCGTGTCCTCTGGCGGCGTCAGGCGGACGCAATCGCGACCGCCCGCCAGGACGTCCAGCATGTACGGTGGCGCGCCCGTGGCCAGGAAGCAGCCACAAATCGTCTACCCTGTGTACACACCCTCAAACCACCGACCCGCCAATCACCAGTGGCGAGTGCAAGGTAAGCTTTACTCTTCGCCCAGACGCCTTCCGGCGTCCTGCTGAGTTCTTCCTCTCTCTAACTGGTCATTAATTACACGGCAATTGAGAGTGGGAAAAATGTGGCACAATGATTGTGAATTGAATCCAGTGAGAGTGAAAGAAAATGACACTGAATGTTGAAGAATTAAATCATCCAATGCTGTAACTATACTGTAAGAAATTCCCCTTTATCAACCAAATCGTCGTTTTCCACCTACAAAGAGATTCTCTGATTCACAGCAAATATTTTAAAAGCACGTGTCTGACCCGAGCTTTTCAGGACGAGGTCACTTGTAAGGTAGAATTTTAAGTTAAAGCAAACAATATAGAGGCATATTAGTTAACTACTTTCTTCGAAAATTGTAAATTCATTAGACCTCTTAAGAGAGAACTTTATCAATTATCGCATTTCTTCTAATCACGAGAATTTCTATACACAAAACCCCAGTCATTACAAAGTCAGCAATTAACGCTACTCAGTTAGACTTGTGACTAATCAATAGACACATCCAGAGATTACCTACTAATTGTGAATTGTGCAAACTCTTCGCGGTGAAACAGGTCCCGTTGCCATGGACAGATACTCTCCGGCTGAGGCTTATTCGGCGGGAATCTACAAGGTCAAGAAGAAGAAACAGGAGCAGAAGATGGGGTACAACTATCCCAAGCCCGTCGCTTCGTTTCCCGCAGCAGGTCCTGCTCCTGCCGCTGCACCACCGGCGCCAGCCGCACCCGGTCCTGTCTTCCGACCAGCTCCTCCTCAACCGGCCCCAGTGTTTCGGCCCGCTTCTCCGCCGGCGCCACAAGCAGCGGCTCCTCCAATGCCGGCACCGCAGAATACTTACATTCCGCCATCGAACAAGGACCTGTACGCCTTCCCGCCAAACGTGAACTCCCCGTACTTGCCACCTCAGGACGCCCCAGCGAAGTCTGTGTCACCGGTTTCGAGTTACTTGCCGCCTGCAGCTGGACCTGCGGACACTGACAGTGACTTCAAGTTCCCCGGACCTGTAAATCCTATGTACTTGCCCATGAACAAACCGGCTGAAGCTCCAGATGCGGCTCCGGCTCCTGACTCTGACGACAGCAATGGAGACGATAGTGGCTCTATGGACGATCAGACGACTCCTTCACCCCCTGACCATGACGATCACTTCCCAGACAGCTTCCCCGATCACTATCACGATCACGATCACGACCACGATCACTATCCACACCATCACGGCCACGAGGTGATTTTAGATCATCCTCCGCCTGGATATTTCGATCACTACAGCGATCATCATCACTATTTCGATCACGCCCCGGCCACGCCAGCCCCTGCCCCTACCGAAGCCCCCACAGACGCTCCCGCACCCGCAGACGCAATGGACGACATGGCGCCCCAAGACATGGGAATGCCAAACGACTCTCCCTTCCCAGACTCCTACAAGTACAGCGGACTCTACGGCGTTGACGCGTCGCCCGAACTGATCTATGACCACGATCCGCATCATCACTACCACCACGTGGAGCCCACAACCACCACCGAAGAGCCCCCGCCGGAGCCCAGGGTGAAGAAGTACAGCTACTACTACCTCGGTCGGAAGCTGTGGTACATCCCGCTCTACTTCACGGTGTGGTTCACCTTCTACGTGGCCGCGCTCATCATCCGCTCCATCGCCCGGCACAAGGTGGAGATCCCCGAACACTATCAGGCGCGCAGGAAGCGCGATCTGGATTGCCATCGCGAGACAGTGCGGAAAGTGGATAAAATGGCAGTGTTTGTAATGAGTCAGATTGAGGATTTTGCCCACAAATATTTGCAATAAAATGCCATTAACTTATGTGATGTAGAAAGTTTTATATGTACAGCGTTAAAAACAAACTTCAACCGTCCGGAGAGGAAACGCGGTGAGTCACTGGGATTCCTTTGATTATCTCCTTTCCCAAAACGCCATCCCAACATTACTCACTCCGGCTAAGCTGGGTCATCTCAGGGGCGGATTGTCCAATTTGCGCCGGGAAGACTGTCACAGTTGTATTGTTCACCCCAAATTCAATTCCCGCCGACGCCGGGATAATCTCCACTGTGTGCTCCACTGATCCAGACGATGTCGAGACAGCATTTCTGCGCACAAAAACCCCCACATCGTTACACACTCTCGTCTCATCCACATCCTTCGCTACTCACTTTGGTTGCAAGTGCTCCAACTTTGGAATATTTGCCACTCTGGGCTGCTCTCCGGACGCCTCCAAGGCCGCCAACTCCGCCGGATGAGCCTTCTTCTTGTGACTCCGACAATTCGATCCATTTGCAAAGGTTTTATCACAAAACGGACACACGTACGGTCGCAGGCCAGTGTGAAGAATCAGATGATTCTGACAAATGTATGCAAATTTTATATAAATTAATAAGCTCAATTGCATTATATGAATTTATGCATAGAATAGAATTATTCCGATTAGCTGAGTTCATTGCGATATTTTCCAGTTTATGCTAATTCTCATCCCACTTCCACAGAATCCCCGTCCACTCTTCAGCACGGTTTGCTATAATGGAAATATCGCACCTCTTCTCGCTTAGTGATACATCTAAGTATAAAGATTTTGCTAAATTTGTAGTTCGCGGAATTATCTTCAGTGGAAATGATCTTCAGTGTAAGTGAAGCGCATTTTTCCGGATTCCTCTCAAATCGCACAGAAAATAAATTCGCCACTTTCGTAAATGTTATGAATCGCAGTTTGACGAATTCATAACTTTGACAGCTTATTCGAAATGCTATGAAAGTAAAGTTGCAACGAATCTTTAGTATGTTAGTAGATTATTGGCTAATGTATCACTCTTCGCGACAATGTGCGAAAAATCTCGCGAGAAGTTACTTTGCCAGTTCATTTGAATTGAAATGAGGAGCGAAAAGGGACACTTCATCTATTGTCTAAACATGGAGCAAATTGCTTCAATTTCCGCTTCAGCATCTTTTCACCCACTCTTTCTCTTTCTCTCACTCTCTCTCTCTCGCCATATTATGTCCATTTATATTCAATTTATGAGTCCTCGCTTTGGGTATTCATGAAAATTAATGGCACTCTCGTCTGGGAAGCGCTCCCCAGAGTGATAGTGATTGAATGATAATTCAGGAATCGAGAGATTTATTGAGTGTGAAAATTCATTAATATGCAAAGTGACGAGAAAAGGCTCTCGAGAAAGGCTATAGAGAGGAGTTTCTGGGCTGTGTAATCTGGAAATTGGATCTCACCTTGAGTGCCTTGGAGCGCTTGTACTCGTTTCCGCAGTAGTGGCATTTGTACTTCTTGAAGTCCGAATGCACCACCATGTGCATCTTCAGCGTGCGCTTCGTGTTCAGCTGGATGCCGCAGTGCGGACAGACGTACATGGTGTCGTTGTGGATGTCCTCGTGCGTCTTGAGGCGCGGCAGATTCTTGAACTTCTTCGGACAATAGGAGCACTGGAAGGGCCTCTCCTCGCTGTGGGTGATCTGGTGCTCCTTCAGTCCACCCTTCGTGCCGAACGACTTGCCGCACTCCTCGCAAATGAACGGCCTGTCGCCAATGTGAATGGCACGCACGTGCGCCTGCACGTTCACGGTCTTGCTGAACTTCTTGTCGCAGTACGGACACGGATGGATCAGCTTCTCCGACTCGGGCAGGTGGATCACCTCGTGGATGCGCACCTTCTTCTCCGTGGAGAAGCGCTTCGGGCACTTGGAGCACACGAAGGGCATCTCCTGCTTGCAGTGCTTCTCGCGCACGTGCTCCTCCAGCAAGTACCGCCGGCTGTAGCGCTTATTGCATACCGTGCACACATTCTGCGACTCCTTGGCGCCCCGTCGACGCCTCTGCAGAGGTTCCGCCTCGTCCTCCATGGCATCCATCGCGCTCTCCGGCGCGTACTCGATCAAATCATCCTCATCAGGCACTACAAGTTCCCCATCTTGATCCCCAGCATCGTCATCGTTGATCTCCTCGGCGGAATTCTCCTGGTTCCCCTTCGATTTCCGTATACTTTGCACTCTCGCGGACTTTCTCGGTCGTCCACGCTTCTTCGCAGCCACGACGCTCTTCAATTCGCCCACTTCCTCCTTCACCGCCAGCGTCTCCTCGGCGTCCTCCTCCAGATCCTGCGTGTCCGTGCACTGATCCACCAGCACCGGATATTGCCGCGGCACTCCTTCGCTGATTTGCGACACGAGCGCGCTGAACTTGATGTCCTCGTCATCCACGCCATATCTGAAGCGAATTGTCTGCAAATCGGACTCTGCGATGTCTTTGACGAGCATCAGTTCGCTGAACATTTTCTCCGACTTCACGCAGCGCTCTCCGAAGGTCTCCAGCTTTGCCAGGAAGCCACAGCACTCTCCACACATGGACGAAAGACTCCCATCGTAAGGCAGAAGCTGGAAAATTGTGAAAATCTTAAGAATCCGGGAACACTTAACAGGTTTATCCGGGAAATATAAACACAGAGAAATTTCATCAAAATTCACGCATTTTTTCCACAACAATCCCTCAAAACAACACGTGAATCTGATGAAAAGGGTTCAATCTTGATTATTATCGAGATAGTGAGGTGATCTCGGGGAAATTGAGGTGATAAATGGGAAAACAAGTTCTCACCGAAAGCATGAAGTATTTATTTACAATTTCCAGTTGATCTTTTATCGATTCCATTTTGTACACTGTGTCTACATCCGCCGTGTCACACTTTGCACACAATCTGCACCAGTTTTGCCAATTTCCCAGCATTTTTCATACGTTTTTCCACAATTACAAACAACAAAACAGAATGTGTGATGTGAAAACTGCTCTTGACGCTGCTCTCGCGGGGAATCACTTGCTGACGTTTCCCTGACAGCCACACTGGCATGCGAGCGATTGTCGCTCAGTTTTCGAAAAAACAACGGATTTTTTAGCTAAGTATTTTTTAATACTCATCATACTCATAAATATTTATTTGCTGTTTCCGTAATTCTGACCTCTGGGCGGGGAAGTTAATGATACTTCGTGTCTGTGAAAAAGAATTACTCGTCAGTTTTAACAAGAATGATTGCGCAAAGAATTTCACTCACTTTGGCTGCAAGAGTTTCGGGGTATTTACAATCACTCTCTGGTGCTGCTGCTCTCCTCCTGACGCCTCTAGAGCCGCCAATTCAACTGGATGGGCTTTCCTTTTGTGACTCCTGCAATTTGAGCCATTTGCGAAGGTTTTATCACAGAAAGGACACTCGTACGGACGCTGGCCAGTGTGCAGAATCAGATGATCCTTCAGAGTCTTCGCTCGTTTGTATTCGTTTCCGCAGTAGTGGCACTTGTACTGCTTGTGGTCAGAGTGCACCAACAGATGCATCTTGAGGGTCCTCGAGTTCTTCAGCTTGAGATCACAGTGAGGACAGTCGAACATGTGATCTTTGTGGCTCTCCTCGTGGCGCTTCAAGTGCTGCTTCTTCTTGAACTTCTTGGGGCAGAAGGAACATTGGCAGGGACGCTCCTCAGTATGAATAGTCTGATGCTGATTGAGAGCGCCCTTCGTCCTGAAGGAGTTGCCACACTCCTCGCAAATGAAGGGCTTATCGCCAATGTGCATGGCGTTTATGTGCGTCTGCAGGATGAACTTCACGCGGAACTTCTTCTCACAATAAGGACAAGCATGGGTGCGTCTCTGGTCCTCTGGCAGATGCAGAGTTTCGTGAATCTTCAGCTTGTACTTGTTGGAGAATCTCTTGGGACACTGCGAGCAGACGTGAGGCATTTCGTCCTGGCGATGTTGCTCCAAAATGTGCTCCTTCAGGACACTTCGCCTGCAGAACTTCTTCAGGCAAATCTCACACTCATTCTCCTTCTCAGTCACTGCCTTCGGTCCTCTCTTCCGCTTCTTTGGCGGTTCCGCATCAGCCGCCTCGTTTTCCCCTGAAGGTTTATAGTCTGAATCGTAATCTCTCTCCTCATCGGGCTGCTCTTCAGCCTCCTGACACTCCGTATCAGATTCATTGCACTTCTCCTCTGCCTTAACATCGGAAGACTTGTTTGATTCCTTTCGTCTCCTGGGAAGTGAAGTGGATTCCACTTCATATCGCTGCTTCCTTTTTCTTCTCTCCTTCCTCGCATCTCTACTCGAAGTTCTCTCCGGCAAATCCACAGCGTCCAACTCCTGTTTCACCGTCAGCACGCATTCAAGCTGCATAAGAGGATCTGGACTGTGATGATCTCCTTGTCCTTCGCTTTCTGGCAAGATGCAACTGTACTTCTGCAATGGAAGCAATCACTGAGAATAAATCCAAGCACTCTGTGACTCGAAATACTCACAATTTCCTCACTATCAACGCCATATCCTAGTCGAATATTCTGCAGATCTGCATCTGAGAATTCCTTTCGCAGCACGAGTTCCTTGAACATCTCATCCACCTTCAAGCACCGCTGCGCAAAATGCTCCAACTTCACCAGGAAGGACGTGCAATCTCCGCACACTGACGACTGCTTTTCCTCGAAGGGCAGAAGCTGAAAGTCCGGAAACAATTACAAGGTTTCTCCGAGCGTCCCATTCGCGTATTGTAAACAATACACAAATCTTCAAGATTTCTGCACTCTGACCCAAATTTCATGCAAAATTCTTAGATAGTGTGAGGATTAAAGGATTTCCACATAGAAAAAGAGAACAATTTCACTTGCTCTATGATAAATAATGAGATGTAAACAAAAAAAACAGTCTCACCGAAACCATGAAGTATTTGTTGGCTATTTCCAGTTGGTTTCTCACGCAGTCTGTCTGGTACTTTGTGTCAGCATCCATGGAGTCTATTTTTGCACACAATCTGCACCAATTTTGCCAGTTTCGCAGCATTTTTATCACTTTTCCGCAAATTCCAGCAGGAATTGACAAACACTCAAGTCTGACACTTGAGACGCTTCTACTGCTATCCGTTGACAATCTTTTCTGTCGCTCAGTTCAAAAAGAACACCGTTATGTTATGCAGGATAATAATATCCTTTACTTTGCCTTCAATTCATCTAATTTTGATAAATTCAATGTTGCACCAGGCTGCAATGACGCCTCTAAAGCTGCCAATTGGACTGGGTGAGCCTTTTTCTTGTGACTCCTGCAATTTGAGCCATTTGCGAAGGTTTTATCACAGAAAGGACACTCATACGGACGCTGGCCAGTGTGCAGAATCAGATGTTCTTTCAGCGTCTTTGCTCGCTTATACTCATTGCCGCAGTAATTGCACTTGTACTGCTTGTGGTCTGAGTGCACCAACATGTGCATCTTCAGCGTTCGAGAGGTCCTTAGCTTGAGATCGCAGTGAGGACACTGGAACATATTGCTCTTGTGTCCTTCTTCGTGCATCTTCAAGTGCTGTCGCTTCTTGAATCTCTTCAGACAGTCTGAGCACTGATACGGCCGAGCCTCGCTGTGACTCGTCTGGTGTTCAGTTAGAGAGCTTTTGGTGGTGAATGACTTTCCGCATTCCTCGCACGTGAAGAATTTCTCACAGAGATGTTTTGCCGTCACGTGCAAATCGACACTGTTCTTGTGAGTGAACTTCTTATCACAATACGCGCACGGGAACACTTGTCTGTCAGCATCCGGCAAGTGGACAGTCTCGTGCAGTTTCAGTCTGTAGCTCGACACGAATCGCCTGTCGCATTGTGCGCAGACATGAGTCATTTCCTCTTTGCGGTGCTTCGCCAGGATATGATCCTGCAGCACATTTGGACGACTGAAGCCTTTGGGACAAAAACTGCACTTGTGATCTTTCTTGCCGGTTCCATTCCAGATGCGTTTCTGTCTGCGCTTCAATTCTTCCTTATCAATTGACTTATCATCTGCTAAATTGTTGTCTGACTTCTTCCTTATTCTAACTTTTCGGCCCTTTGCGCCTGTAGATCCTGAAATTGACTTCTTCGGTCGTCCGCCTGAAAGAACAATTATATATTATTTTATTTACATTGAATTATAACATTGATTTGACTCACGTTTCTTGTGCACTTGTTCAACAGGAATTTCTTCTTTCACGCCGATTTCCTCATCTGTTTCTTTCATTTTCAATTCTGTCTCTAAAGGATCATAATTTTCTCCTTCCATCACAGAATTTTCCTGAGAAACTTCTTCCTTGGGCACTTGGAAGAGATTACCAGCGTATTTCTGCAAGTTCACAAGTGCATAAAGCAGAGAAAATTAACATATCATGAAAATTACCGTATCTTCAGCATCAAAACCGTATTTTATGCGAATCAACTCAAGATCCAAATCACTTTCGCTGTGATTCTGAATAAGTTCTTCAAACATTTTATCTGCTTTCAAGCATTGATCTTTAAATTCGTCCAATTTTCTTAAGAATCCTCTGCATTCGCTGCAAATATTCGAGTTTTCCTGCAAAGGCTGAATCTGAAAGATAATCCGGAAAAATTTATGTGGTTTATTGGGTTTTTTTTTTAGAAAAAATTACAGACTGAAACTCACTGATATCATAAAGTGTTTGCTAACGATTTCCAGATGTTCTCTTAATGATTCCATTTTATGCAATTCCTCTGTACTTGTGGAGCCTATTTTAGCACACAATCGACACCAATTCTGCCAATTTCCCAGCATCTCAAGAACTATTTATTTGTTTGTAAACAAAGAAGGGCGATAAGAATCTGTCACCCACTGAATGCCGATGAATGGTTTTCTCAGCGACGAACATATTCGAAAAATAACGCTCCTAATTATCCTTATAACACTTCCGATCTCGTTATAATCTTCTGTGTTTCTTGGCGCATTGCTTTCAGGCGTTCTCTGAAGTGAGAATATCACGTGATTTCTGCCCTGATGGAATACAAAATAGGATGCAATTGGAGATTAGTATTATGTTTCTTTGCTTGAAATGGTTCATAAATTCTACAATATACCATAATTCTACTGAAAGAAATCGTTTCATGGATGATTTTTATTCGTCAAAACAAAGATAACTCCATATTTTACGCGGCTACTTATCAATGTCTTATCATCTGCTGTAATTATGTGTGTGTTAGCGACTTCGAGAAATAAAATCCAACATAACGTTGACGATTCAGTCGCTCTTGAGAAGTCCCAAAGCGAAGATGAAGTGGTCGCGGCCAGAAAGTGTTTCATTCCCACAAGTTTGGTGGAGATTCAAAGCAAAAGATCCAGAATCTGGAGAAATCGTGGATTATCGGATTGAAGATTGCACAGAGGATCGCTTCGAGGAAGTTGTGGAGCTCATGCTGAATTGTTTTATACCTGATGAACCTATGAGCACCTCTCTTGGTTAGTTAATCCAAATGTGCTAAAGCCGTAGAAGCATATAATAAATAAAAACGGATTATTTTCAGAGGTACTTAAGGATGAAGTATCCTTGGCTGAGATGAAAGCAATGTGGGTAGAAACTATGCCGCAGAAATTGACTCTCGTTTGCTTTAAAGAAGGATCCAGTGAAATTTGTGGACTCAACGTACTGGAAATCAATGAACAGAGCGAATCTAAGAAAAATGAATTAGATGAAGTGTCGGGAAAAGGTCTAAGAGACATTCTAAAGGTGTTTATATTCCTTAAAACAAAAGCGGATGTTTACAAACGCTACAATGTGGACAAATATCTGCACGGATTGGGACTGTTAACCATGCGAAAATATCGAGGATGTGGAATTGCTACAGAGCTTCTGAAAGCCAGATTTCCCCTCATGAAAGCTCTGGGATTGACTCTAACTTGCACAGTGTTTTCCGGTCCAGGATCACAAGGAGCTGCCAGAAAAGCCGAGTTCACAGAAGATGTTGTAGTTGCGTACGAATCATTAGAAAAAGCGCATCCTTTTGTAAAACTACCTAACATTTCTTGGCCTGTTGTGAAATTCATGTGCTATCAATTGAAATAATTAGAAGAAAAATGATAAAGTTTGGTGTGTTATCACAATTTTATATCTCGGCTTATACAAACTGTTTTAATGAAGATTAATGAGATGATAAAACGAACTCGTGATACACACACAAATATATATTAAATAAAAAAAATTCTATCCATTTTTAAGCCTTTCTTTTCATGCAACAAACATTTTCAAAGATATTTCATAGACTTCATATTTAATTTAGTATTTGTTAGTAAACAATATTGAAATTTAATGTATAGTGAAGAAAGATATTTCACTCAACACTTTGCACGGAAACTGTCAAAAGAAACACATTCTATTTTGAGTCAAGTGGGATTAAAATTGCCTCCGACAGATAATTTATGAAGATGTCTGCGCACGAAAGTGAAAGTCATTTTACTGATATAATTTTACAAAATGCAATGCCTTTTCCAGCTTTTTAATGATGTTCTAGGTTTTTTAACTTCTATGTTTATATTATGACAAATTCAATACAAAGTTAAAATAGAAACTAATCACATAATAATACCGTTGTTCAATGAAAGATAAAATTCTTGATAAAATTTGATCACCAAGTTCAACTCCACAAAAATTAAGCTGCGCAGGCGCCTATCAAAATTTTCCACGCCAATTGATATCATCTCATGATGGTAGCTTTGCGATATGAAGACAATCATAATTGTGTTGACGATTCAGTTACTCTTGAGAAGTCTCAAAGCAAAGATGAAGTGGTCGCGGCCAGAAAGCCTTCCATTCCCACAAGTTTGGTGGAGATTCAAAGCAAAAGATCCAGAATCTGGAGAAATCGTGGATTATCGGATTGAAGATTGCACAGAGGATCGCTTCGAGGAAGTCGCAAATCTTATGATGGACTGTTTCGTTCCTGATGAACCCATGAATATTTCTCTTGGTATAATAATGAAAATGTGTAAATTTTGGTGCATAATTTTAACAATGTCACTTTCGTCCATTCTCTTTCATTTCCAGAAACTCTCAAGGATGAAGTATCTCTGACTGAAATAAGAGAAATGTGGGTGAAAACTATCCCACAAAAATTAACGCTTGTCTGCTACAAAGAAGGATCCAATGAAATTTGTGCCCTAAATATACTCGAAGTCATTGAAGAAAAGGAAGCAAGGAAGTATACTGCAGAGAGCCCGAAAGGAAAATCTGTTATTAATCTACTAGCCACTTTGAATTTTCTGAAAGAAAAGGCAAATGTATACAAACGCTACAATGTGGACAAATATCTGCACGGATTGGGACTGTTAACCATGCGAAAATATCGAGGATGTGGACTTGCTACGGAACTCTTGAAGGCGAGATTTCCCCTCATGAAAGCTCTGGGATTGACTCTCACCTGCACACTGTTTTCCGGTCCTGGATCTCAAGGAGCTGCTATAAAAGTGGGATTTTCCGAAGATGTTGTAGTTACGTACGAATCCTTAGGAAAGGCGCATCCTTTCGTAGAATATCCTAACATTTCTTGGCCTGTTGCGAAATTCATGTGTTATCAGTTGAATTAATTGAAAAGGCAGAAGCCGGTTGAGGAAATGTTGTCATGTGAAGATAAGAGATTTGTTTTTATTTTCAGCTAATTCACGTTAAAAGACAATCTTAATAAAACACTAGACAATATATGTATAACAGATATGTATATGTCATGTGTATTGTATAAATAACAACCAGAATGTAGTATTTTAAAATAAAAGTATGTACATATCTACTAAACAAAAACAGAGTCAAGCAAAATTAATATAGATAGACTTCTGTAGATAAGAGGTGATTATGTTTTCAACAAAAATGAATGTCATGGTTTTGACACACGATTTTTCATACACATGGTATCTTATCTGTACTATATTAATTGATAAAAAGTACTCTATAAGCTAGATTCATCGAAGGAAATGAAAATATGCTCAGTTGTTCGGAAATATTTGCCAAGCCACATTCGCAAATTATTGTGAAAGCAAAAATTCCAAATGGCGTGGAAAAGACCGGATAACGTGGCTTTCCCTCAAGTCTGGTTGACTTTCGATGCAAAAGATCCTGACACGGGGAAAATTGTGAAGTATCGAGTTCAGGATTTACCGGAAGATCGTTTTGCAGAGGCTCTCGAACTCATGTCAACGGTTTTTCTCCAAGATGAGACAATGAGCAAATCTTTAGGTTGGTGCATAAAAATATGTAAATTAATTGAAAGTCATTGAATACATCTTCTACAGACCTCTTCAATGAAAGGGAATTTGATGGAAGCAAGATTTGGGACTCTGGTTTAGCACAGAAAATATCGGTGGTTTGTTTCAAAGAAGATTCGGATGAAATTTGTGGTCTGAATATGTTAGAGGTGGTAGAAAAAGACGCCAAGGAACCTGATGACGATATTCCATGTGAAAAAGTGCGGAATCTCATAAAGGCGTTGGATTTTGTCAAGAACAAGGCAGATGCGTACAACAAATACGGAGTAGATAAATATCTTTACGCAATGGGTTTGCTGATTGTTCCAAAGTATCGAGGACTCGGCTTGTCCACGTACATTCTCAAGGCTCGAATTCCTTTGGGAAGAGCTTTGGGTCTCAAATTAAGTGGCACAGTGTTTACAGGTGTAGCATCTCAAGGAGCAGCTAAAAAGGCAGGATTTGTCGAAGACTATTCAGTACTTTATGAAGATTTGGCGAAGTATGAACCATTTGTCGAATTTCCAAATGTATCGTCACCGTCTGTGAAGTTTATGAGTTTGCGATTAATAGATTAGCAATCGAGCTTGTTCAATAAATTCGTTCAGTCTGTAATCTTATCTGGTTTCTCAGACACTGTACTAAAAATAAATAATTTTTCTCAGTTGACAGTTGGTTTTTCAACGAGATTCATTGCTATTTTAATCTTGGAAATTTCCAATGACTTGGAGAAGACCGGAAAGTGCAACTTTTCCTCAGGTTTGGGGCACATTTGAAGCAATGGATCCTGACACTAAAATACCAGTAATATATCACGTGCAAGACTTAACTCAGGATCGTTTTGAGGAAGTTATTCATCTGATGGAAACTGTTTTTCTACGAGATGATGCAATGTGTCAATCCTTAGGTTTCTATTCAATTCATTGATATTTCTTACTTTTCCTTTAAACTATTCTTCCTTTCATAGATCGTGTCAATGAGCCGAAAGGACGCGGATATCCAGGAAACTTTTGGAGAACAGCTCTAGACAAGAAAATTACTCTTGTGTGTTTTAAAGAAGGATCAGATGAAATTTGTGGTTTTAACATGTTAACAGTGTTCGAGAGAGATAGTGAAAGAAAGTATGAAGACTTGGTTACCAAAGAGCAACAGAATTTCACAAAAGCTGTCGAATTTATCAGAAGCAAAGCTGATACATTTAACAGGCACGGAGTGGACAAATATCTCACTGCGGCTGGCTTGGTGGTTGTTCCCAAATACCGTGGACTCGGTCTTGCCACGGAAATTCTCAAAGCCAGAATTTGCTTGGGAAAAGCATTAGGCCTAGAAGTGACAGGGTCAGTTTTCACGGGAAATGCATCACAGAGAGCAGCTGCAAAAGCAGGATATGTTGAAGACTATTCGGTGCTTTTCGAAGACCTCGCTAAAAAAGAGCCTTTTGTCCACTTTCCCAATATTATAGCGCGTTCAGCAAAATTTATGAGTTGTTCTCTCAATAAATAATGATTTATTGAAAAAAAAATACTTGGGAAGAAATATTTTGCTTATGTTTTATGCATTCGAGACTTAATAACAAATTTACGCACAAATTGCAGATGAAACAGAGAAGACGTTAAGAATTTTCCTGTCTTTTCTGCATTAGCTTCCCAATCAGATTGAATCTTCGCTGAAGTTTATAAGCTCAGTGTAATGGAATAACCTTTGTGCGAAAATACAGAGCACTTCTTATTGTGCTAATTGAGGCAATTTTTCAATTAGTCCTTCTCATTAAAACACTTCTCAATTACACACTCTTGTCGTCAAGTATATCGGTTGTTATTGCATAACTAAAATAGTTTCTCTTCACATGAATATGTTCTCAATGATATCAGGAAGGGGTTTGCAAGTTCAAAAAACACTCTGTAATGGGAATTAAGATAATAAAACCTTTACTTGTCATACATTACCTTATCTCTCTCAACAAGACTCACACAGTTAGTCACTATTTCCTCCGGATGATAAGCCCAGTTATTTTTATTCTGGATGCTTTTGGCGTGTGCGTGCGCAGAGCTCAAATTATTCTGTGGTGTGTCAAGTCGAGGAGCCACAGTTCCCAATTTGCCAGTGTGAGATTCATCGTTGTGTGGAGAAGCCAGAACCCGCCAAAATGTCTAACGACTGGACGCGTCCTTCTAATATTGATTTCCCCACTGTTTGGGGAACATTTGAGGCTAAACATCCTGCTTCTGGTGAAATTTGGAAGTTCCAAGTGCAGGATTTGCCCGAGGAGCGCTTCGACGAGGCCGAAAACATCATGATAGAGCATTTTCTCAGTGAAGAAAGCATGTGTAAATCCAAAGGTAATTATATAATGAACTTAATCACAGCTGATAAGAATAGTTATGATTTTTTGCTACTCTTTTCAGAAATCTCCAAAGATCCCAGTTCTTTGGCTCTTGCACGACTTTACTATAGGAAAATGCTTGAGAAGAAGATATCCTTGATCTGTGTTCGGGAAGGATCTGACGAAATTGCTGGCATCAACTGCTTAGAGCCAGCGCAAAAAGGCGACGAGAAGATCAATCTTCCTGAAGATACAGTAAAAAGCATTTTATATGCTCAAGTTTGAGAATCATTCATTAATGCTCGCGTATTGGTTTCAGGATGCTGCTGTGCTCGAACTGCAAGTGGCAACAGATTTCCTGATGAATAGTGCTGCGGTGTACGATAAGTATTCAGTTGATAAATATCTGTACGCCTGGGGACTCTATGTGTTTCCTAAGTATCGCGGAATGGGAATTGGCGGGCAGATTCTCAAAGCTCGCATACCTTTGGGTAAAGCACTTGGCTTCCGCCTCACCACTACCCTCTTCACCAGTTCAACATCTCAAGCAATCGCCAAGAAAGTCGGGTTTGTAGACGATGTTGTGATCCCTTATGAAGACTTAGGGAAGAAGGAGCCTTTTATCCAATTCCCCAACATTTCGTCACCTCTCATCAAAGTCATGAGCCTTCGCATCGACTGACAGAGTGTATCATAATTAAAATTACTGTATTTACAGAATTAATCTTACGTCAATATTTTCTAATATAAATTTTGCCAGTTCAAGAGACAGACTCTTTGCATTCTAGTGACATCCACAGCTCTTCACCACCATATTTTTGTATTTCTTGAGATTCACATTCGACTCATCCAGGAAATAGAGCACAGAAATCGGGCTCAGTTTCGTTGGAGCACAGCAGGGTTTTGGCACCTGAAGTTCAACATCAATCAGTAAATATTCGGTGAATTTTATAGTATTTCAGCGTGTTTACCTTTGTGGGATTCAGAAGATGAACCAGAGTCTGCACGATTGCATGATTTGTTGCATTCATGTGAGCATTGAGAGGAAAGTTGCACTCGCCACTGCAGTAGAAAGCACCATAGCCTTCAGGAGCGATTATCCAATCCTGAAAAGAGAGTTTTTTGAGATTTTGATTAGACTTCGTTCCTTCACAGTGCCTTTGCTTAAGCTCACCTGCCACTTCAGATCCTTGAAGCTGACGTAGAGAGTCTGGATTTGGCAACTCTTGTGATCGTAGTTGGGTCTCGTATCGATGAGGGGATGCCTATTCTCGCTCTTCCTCCTGTGACTCCTCTTGGAAGGACTTCTCTTTATGCGCCGCGAGTGACGCACGGGCTGAATGATTTCCTGCCCCTTGAAGAAGCCCACCATGAAGGGCTGGTACTCATCGTCTCCTCTTGTGTTCACCAGACCAATGTCTTCGAGTTTAACCTCGTGATCGGGCCGGTCGGTAGAATGGGCACTGATGTAGAGGCCCTTGTTCAGACTGGGATCCGCTGTCCACAGTGCGAGTCCTTCGGTCACGTTCATCTCCAGCCAACCGAAGTAGTCGGCCGTTGTGTTGACAGAGGAAAGCACTCTGAGCTCCTTCTGGCCGTTGAGCCGGATGATCGTGTGCACAGTGATGGTGAAGGTCTTGCTGGTGCCCTTCCACTTGCCCGGCTTCTGGTAGATTCTCAGCTCGGCCATCATGAGGGCAGAATCGCGCGCCACCTCAGACACATCGAACCACAGCCGGCGTCCGCGCTCATGACGCACCTCCGAGACGTGGTGGTCTTGAAATAGAAGGCATCATTATTATCAATTAGGTGTTCTCTCTCTGCCTCGCTTTTCGTACTCTTCCGAGAAGCACAGGTAAAAATTCTTGACCTCCCGCACACACACAAGCGCCGGCGCTTGAGAGACACAGAAGGGCAAGGAAGAATCAGTGAATTGGAATGCCGAGAGAGAGAGAGACTCACTCTTGTTCAAGAATGTCATGATTATGTCGCTCTGGTCGATGGCCATTTGATCCTGATCCGTGATGAGATTGTCGAATTCGTCCGTGCTGCGAACCGTCCTCGAGTTTCCTCTCTCGCCATCCTCGCTCAGGCGCCGATACACATCCATAAGAAACTGCGGTGCGGATTTTCTGCCAGGAGAAAAAGGGAAAAAGTGGGAAAATATATCCCGATCAAAGAGTCAAGTTTAATTGATCACTTCGCTTGCCATGCTCAAAAAGCGCCTCACTGTTTACACTTCACACGAGAATTTATTTCATGTTTAGAATTTCCAGCCTCAAGACGCGCGTGAGTATGTAATATAAACATTAATTTTCTTCAACAACTCAACGGGTGCTTCTTTTGGAAAATCACCGTTCAGTGTTTGTTTCTCGGCATCTTCTCGGGAAAAAGACACACTCACATATGCACAATATTCCCAGAATATTTCCCTCTGTTCTATTTAATTGCCAATTTTCACTCTTTGACTTCCAATTCGTGGAAGAATTGATGAGGTGATAGATTGAAGATACATTTTTAAGGATTATTTAATGAATTCAGGAGGCAATCTATGAGTTTTCCTTTAACATAGCAAAGAGAAATTCTCTGAATATTATGTAATAGACTTATAACAAGGCTTAAATATTCCAGAACAACTTTTAGTAGCTCAGGAATTTTCCATACTAAAATGCTCATTTTACAAAAATCTCACCTCAACTCTATTGAATATTTATCCTAAATTCAGACTATTTTCATATTATATGTGCAAAAAATACGTTGAACATGGCAATTATTAATTTAGTGTTGTATCAAAATATCGTCAGAGCACATTGCAATTTTTATCTTATCTATAAGAAAAACTCGTTGTATCAACTCGGATCCTGAGAGAAAGAACTCTGATTCTGAGATATTGAAAAATATTTTTGCACACGCATATGGCTAATTCAGTCGATTATTGCATTAATTATGCCAGCTGGAGGCGCTCTTTGGCATTCAGCGCAAGAATTATGCATTCATACCTGAGAGAGGGGTGAATGTGACGCCTCCTGGGGCGATCCGGAAGTCCCAGCAGCTCCAGAATCTCGTGCTCCACCTCCTGCTGATCATCCTGCGTGAGGGTGCGGTGCATCACAGTCTGATCTACGCCATTGTCCACGTAGATGCCCGAGAGGCTGGCCAAGGTGAGCCGTATGATAAGGAGGATCACGAGTGAGATCAGCATTGAACTCATTTTGTGTCGCACACTCATTTTTCACCAGATTCACAGTGACACTCTGTCTGCTTGGGGTCTCTTTTACACACACCAATTGCACCCAATTAAATGTTCATTTTCCCTAACCCGTAAAATCTCTCGGTCTTTTAATCTCTCTCGCCTTCTTCACTCTTTCACGCCTCGATTTTCACTCGATCACGATCGCCAGACACACTCTACTGTCCTCTACTTTCGCATCTAATCACCGAAATTGCTGTACTCGATGGGGCTCTGTGGCCAAGGTGCCCTGCACACTGACTTGTGGGTGCGATGGTGCTCCTGCGACGGCTCGACTCAAACTGAGGCAGATTCATCGAAATTCCAGAACTCAGGCTTTTCTGTAAATGCGTTGCTACTCTCGGCTACTAAAACTAACCCAAGCACATCTTGTTCTTGTCTTTCAGTCAATGAGATTTCAAAAAGAGTGAAACGCCTACCACAGGGTGATTGGAAAATTCACTGAAATCACCAAAATGACGTAAAATGAAAGTTGAGCACGAACTCTGCCTTGGGAGATGGGTGAGATTTTGTGGCGGGAATGCGCGAAACGTGATTTTCAGGTGAAAAATCCTTTTGCACAGCACGTGGGCGGATGAGAAAAGTGTCGAAAATTGCAGAGGCATTCTGTGATAGAGTATCTGTGGAACCGGTTCAACAGGTTGTTTATCCACCACACTAAAGTCCCCATGCCAAAGAGCCATGATGAAATACCTTCGCCAGGTAGAGTAGCAGAGAGTCGGCGGTGTGTTGGTGAGTGCCTTCGGTGCTCGGGCGGGATGATTTCTGAGGCGAGATCGCCAAACAATCGCCTTCGTTGATTCACTGTGCATCCAAATCGAGACACAGCGTCTTCGATGGCTCAACCATATCTCATAGGGCGGCTGCTGCTCAGTGGTCACCGCGCCTGACTCCCAATGCGACAATCGCGTATGTTCAAATTTCGCCGCTTGCCAATGCTTGAACACAGCAAAGTGCGAAAAAGAGGATCATTTCAATAGCAAAAAAGCAGCCCATATATATGCTATCAAATATATGCTTCACTGGAATTGTTTGTGCTCTGTACCAATAAATAATTTTAACATTATTAATAATAATAACAATAATAATAATAACAACAATAATAATAATAATAATAATAATAGACCATATCTCATGCAAATACGCAAACGATTTTATTCAAAGCCTGTGGCGGCTGAAGGAAGACGTTACAAATGCTGGTGACACTTTCTTCCCGCATAACACCAACTCACAATTAATTACACAGAGAGTTACTGAAACAATGTGTAGCTCTTGTCGGCTTTTTGTCACATAATGGAACGGAGGAGAAATATTAATGCACATAAAATTGGGCGCAATCTTATGAGGATCGCTCCTCGCCAATGAGAGCGTACAAGGCGTGCTTGTAGTGGCCGGACGTGTCACCCTGTGGAGGCAATTAACAATTTAGTTAAGTGGTAATTCTTGGAAGTGACGGGAAAGTCTGGCACTTTACCTTAATCCAGCTCTTGAGGCTCTTGCCGTAGAGACGCTCGAAGGTAGTCTTGATGTCTGCCAAGTCAATTTCACAGCGTGTCACCACGAGGCGAATAAGTTGTCGGTCATTAGTGCCAATCCCTGCCATACTTTTCTTCAAAAGCGATGCAAAGTACTCCGTCTTGTTGCACACGACGCTAATGATGGCCAGGAGACCCTCCATAATGTCGCCCGAAAACTCCTTCTTAATGGCCTTCTCGAGAGTGTGTCCAGTCATCCTTTGGTACTCCTCGCAGATTAGGCGAATCTGAGCGTAGTTTCGCTGACAGAGAACCATGTTGAAAGTGCTCTCGTCAGTTCCAACCATCAGCTCTCCTGCCTTCAGCAGCTCCCGAGCGTCATTCTGCGCCGCCACGGGATCCGTAACGCCGCTCTCATCGCGACCGCCGACTGACAGTGAGACTAGAAGTCTCTTGAAGTTCCCTGAAGTCTCTGAGATCAATCGGTTCTCCAGACTCTGACCGTACACTGCGCAAAGAAATCACAATTTTTAAATTAATAATTAAAAATGTTTTCTTTTAAAACATTAAAGTGTAGTACTCATAAAAAATTTATTTCAATTGCGAAAAAGTGAAGTTGACTTGAATTGAAAACAAGTTAATTTAATCGTTTTTTTACTTACTCTTCTCATACGCGAATTTAATTGTATGGATCTCGTAATTGGACATGGATCCCAACACCTCAATCAGAACATCTTCGTCAGTTCCCATTCCTGCCATGGCATCGTGCAACTCCTGAGCATAGAAGTCCACAATGGGCGTCATTAGAGACACGAGGAGATTCTCAAAGTTTCCACTTGTCTCGGACTTGATGTCCTCAATGAGATCCTTCCCGAAGTTGGTCTTGTATTCCCGCGCAATCATCTGACGTTGCTCATTTGTGCGGCGACAGATCACATTGATGAGGGCATCTTCGTCTGTGCCGAAGCCCTTCATGGCCTTCCTCAGGGCCTTCGCGTCGGTCACGGGATCAAAGCCGGGCGCCGCCGTGACAGTTGGAGTTCCCTGCAATTATACAGAACATGTTAGAAACTCAGCAGACGCTCAGGATGAGTAACACAGAGGTGAATCATGGCGTGACGATACAGAAGCTGGTCTTTAGTGTCGCGACAGGTACCTTAGACTTGATCTCACTGTTAATTCTCGTCACATGGGTTTTCATCTCGCTGAAGCACTGCGCCATGCCCATGGCAGCGCCTCCGGTTCCGGACATTGCAGGATACATGCCGCCTCCGGGAGGTCCCTGAGCTGGATAGGGATTGGCCGGGGCCGGAGGATAGGGATTCGATGCCGGTGTAGAGCTCGGGGTCTGAGATGGATAGGGACTGGGATAGGCCGAAGAGGTGTTCGTGGGATATCCCGCCCCGAAGGGTGGGTATCCCTGACTTTGCTGTGGATATCCTCCGCCCGAGGGTGGATATCCTCCGCTCGAGGGTGGATATGCTCCACTAGAGGGTGGATATGCTCCACTAGAGGGTGGATATGCTCCACTAGAGGGTGGATATGCTCCACCTGACGGCGGATACCCTGGCATTTGGGAGGGATATCCTGGATTGGGATTGCTGTTCGGATAGGGCGCCGAAGTAGGATACGGCGAGGGATTCGGATAGGGCGAGGCGTGCGGATAAGGAGAGGCGTGCGGGTAAGGAGACTGTCCCGGCTGAGGCATGCCGGAACCAAAGGGCATCTGTGGGTAGGGGGCTGAAGAGTTGGGCGGCGGAGGACCTCCCGAGCCCTACAAAATATTGTCCACTTTAGTTTCTCACCACGTGCGCTTCACTGGGTTTTTCCACAACCTCTAAGCAAATGAATGGGATCATGTGTGACCCCGTTTCTGCGTGTGATGTTTTCGCAAAAGATGTTTGCAATGAAGAGTGTGAAACAGTTGAATAATTTTCTGAGCATAATTTCAATAGAACAGTGCATTTGTGTGCCAAAGCAAGACTCTTTGCACTCGAACAAAATAGCCACAATTCTGCAATTGAATATTGAAAGGTCAGACAATTGATATTGTCAAATTTTAGTCAACCTTGATGGTTATAGTGATCCAAAAGCGATCAGAAAAGCTATAAAACATGTTGATGGATTTATCTTATCACAGCCTGAATGTGACAATACAATTTTGTACTCTCAAAGTGCTTCGTAGCAACTATTTTGTACATTTCCAATAAATTGGCGGTGATGTCTAATTATAATCGTATTAAACAAGCGTAAATAAATTGACGATTGAAGCTTCTGCATCACATGAATTAGTAATGTCTCAACGAGAAAAGCTATGAGCCATAAAACCACAGTCACAATTCGACGTCATGTGTGGCGATAAGAGTGGAACAATTGTGACGCGACACAGACAATTTATGTTGATAAATAAAACTTTTGTGTTGTTCCATTGTGAAAATCTAATTCTTCTAAATCGTGTAACGACAATTTGCCTCCAAGAATCCGCCTCTAAGACTCCACTCTGCGTGAAATCTCAGCGTGATGAAAGTGGAATATGTTGATTTTTAGATGTTTTTCTTGTTCGCAATATCGACGGGTCAATGTGGGAGGATTTGTGAAAAGGGTAGGCATAATTTTCAACAGCATATAATACTTACGAATGGATACATGTTGGTTTCTTCTGTGCTTTTCCTTGGATCGGTTTCAGCAAATACTGTTCAAGTTCACTATCTCGTGCTGGAAATGAGAGAAAAGCAATGCCGAGAGATTACTCAATGATTTCATGCAGCAAATACAATACAATTGTTGCGAATTAATTATATACGGGAAGTGTAAGTGCACTTCTTATCAATCAGCGTGAAAATTCGAAATATTTCCCAAGACACGAGATTGCGATAACAAATACGTGGATGATAAAGTAATTAATAGCCAAAATAAAGATAAACCGGCAAAGAGACCTTGTCGCCCTCAGAACACTTTATGGACTACACCTCTGAGCTTTGCCAAGCGGCAACAGGTTGGTTGTAATGTTTCGAGCCAAGAATATTGGCGCCATGCGAGAACATCAGCCAGATCATTGACTGTGAACTGGAGAGCTTTCGCTCTCGAAGAAATGCGAAAGCTGTCCTACGTCACCCAATTTTAGGCCGCTTGTGAAGTAGCATTACATATTTTTAGCCGAGGGGCAACACCCATGTGGCTATTGATTTTATGAGAGGAAGTGTAACTCTATGAATAATTATGTATCGCGTGGGAAATTTCGGTGCAAATGTGCCTCTCGTGATTCACACATCGGGTTTTTAGGAATTCCAGTGTTTCTGGAGTCTGAAGATCATGTCATGTGACGTAGATTGTATGACTTGTACACAGATGGTTATTCAGTGGTGATCTCGTGACGTGGGACACACAATTGGAAAACTGTATGGCTCACAAATTCGTCTACGTGGGGCTTTTCTTCAGGCCACTGAATCACCTCTCCAACACAGATATGTAGAACCCAATGTCACTGTAAATCACTTTCTGGCCAGAAAAAATGGAACAATTCACCGCACGATTGATGCGTAAATGATTTAATTAGCACAAATGGCACAAATTCACTCGACTGACCTTAGGATGTTCTACTGTTTTTCGGCTTGACTCTCGTCCGGAGCTTCGACTTTCGTACTGCGACGTGTGGAGAAAGAGTAACTTCAAACCAAACCAATTTAGAGGTATTTTTATATTCAACGCCACTGCGAGATGAGCGCGAAGGCACGGCTAAAGCGATACTGTGTGAGCCGAATTGGAGTGTTGAAGTCGAGTAGTGCTTCGAAGCGTCGTGAAATTCCCCATTACTCACACATTGCGACTCCACATCGCGTTTCGCAAAGAGAGACCCAAGTCCGAAACACTTCGACTGATAGTTGGCTAGCGTGTGTGAGTATTTGAACTCTTGCCCAGGCGATTGTGTTACTCGCACCGCCCTTCAAAGCTGCGTCTTCGGTGGTTCGGAGACTGGCTGAGAGCGCTGAATTGGCTGGTGTTGGAGAAATGTGGGGAAAGGCTGGGGAAAGCGTTGGGATTTCACAAGATTTTCCACTTGCAGCAGTTGGTAAACGTGCCGAAAAGAGGGGTGGCGTATTTTAGTGTCAGATGGGTTTATTTCCTCAGCACCTCTGTCGACTCCCGTCATCTCAACTGGCCACCCACACTTTCCCACCGAGAAGAATCATTCGTGAGCTATTTATTAGGCGAATTAGGAGCTTTGCCAAGATGAAAGAAGAAGGGCAAAGAAGTAATAAGGAGTTAATGTACTTGAGGGTCATTTCAATCTGGGTGGAATGAAAAAGCTTTCAATTCCACGCTATTTGCCTTATTTGTGGCGCATTTTGCCACATAACTTTAATTATAGTTTTAATTACAAAGAAAATCTTTCATTATCATGATAATACTGTAGATATTTAGGGGAAATTTGAATTGCCAGTGCCATAGGAGAGTTTATTTAAAGAAAAATCTCAATTTGCGAGAATGACCTTAGACATCCTAAGAAATTTCCAAAAGAATAAATATACACAGGTTCAACAATTTCATACCAACACTGTTCGCAAGGTCCGGAAAGTTTTCCACCATTCCTTGTTTTCAAAAATCTTTGAAATTCTGTAAAACATTCTTTGAAACTATATATTGAACCAAGGCCATTGCCTGGGGTATTTTTGTGAAATTCACTCAACAGCCTGGAAAAAGTTTCATTTCACATTCCTTTGATTTCACACAGAGAAAGTATGATGAAATTTATATTCTCCAAACATCTTCCAGGCAGAAGCTTCACCTATTGGCGTGCGGAGTATAGATTTTCCCCCAAAAGAAGCCAGGGTGGCTACAAAAAAGACAATTTACGCTGGTCATCCTGGGGTGCATGCAAGAAGATCGGGTGCGCTTTGGAAGTGGTTTGAAGGGCGGGTTTATCGACTGGGTCGTGGTTGATGCTTGCACGATATTGATGGCATGAAAGGAGGAAAAACACGAAGCACTGATGGCATACCAACTCGTTAGGGTCATTCTTTATTCGCTTTTGTACTCTCTGCTAAAATTAGATTCAGGAAATTCCACAGCATCCACCCACTTTTCATTCACTGTCCCGCGCGTGGTTTGGGGCGGAGTGCCGTGTGGGTCTGCGGGTGGATTCGCTCAAATTGTGCTTCTCACAATAAATCGATCAACTTATTAAGTTGTGCGCTGATAATGACAATGATGAATGCCCTCATGTCGCCCCTCGTCTTCGGCTTTTTGCGCGCCATCAGGAGGCGCGTCAAGACGCGCGCTCTTCGGGGTGACGAGAAAGCGGTGACAGAGTCGCCAAAATCAATTCAGAAGCAGAAGCGATTATTTACTTTGCCACTTCCTCCCTTATTCCCCATATCGAATGAGAGTGATTGAGAAGGATTTTTCCACCACATCTTTCGCCCTCGCTTGAGCTCTTCTTCACGAGGTGCCATCCATTTGACCCGAATTTCTTTCTGCTGACCGATTTGGTGTGCTCATTTTATTAGGGCGCTTCCACTACATTTTCCCCGCACATATCCTCCCTTTTGCACATTATTCCTCACATGACTGAAACCCTCTTCACATGTGTACAGCCCAGTTTTATTCGTGTGGCTGTGGATTAATTAATTCGCACACTTCCTCCGCTGCACGTTTGGGAAAGTCTTCCATTTGGAACACCTTCTGTGTTGGACTGCTGACGGGAGAGCTGAGACCAAGAGTATGTTTTCTGAACATAAAACTCCCTGGCCAACTGGACATTCAGGCACCACTCACACCCCGAAAATTCCCTGCAAATTTCACTTCTTTCACCTCCTCCCCGGCGACAAGGCGTAGCGAACGGAAAAGCGGAAATTTAATCAAGAGAAAATATTCAGGGCACACGGAAATTATTTTATGTGCTATCGATTGACGGATGTGAGAGAGAGAGACAGTTTTTAAATTGAAAAATTCCACATGATTTATTTTGGAATTTTTCTCATTATAACCCCAAATCGACAATGTCGCATAAAGCTCAGGGAGAAGCTTTGGTTTGGGGTGAAATTACATTTGGCCAATTATCAATTAAGGGATTGAGACACGATTCTCGGCATTGAGGGTGTTAGAAGAATGAGAAGAGTGGCCACCAATTAAGGTGATTCCCAATGAGTGTTACATTGTGCTACTGCAAAAGTGGGATTTTTTGCACTCGTTCGGTGACTTTTGTAAAACATTATAATTAAATGTTAACGTCTCAGTGCATCCTGATGGAGTGCCACTTAAATAGACGCTACTTCACTTTGAATTATCCAACTCGGCACCCGGAAGTATTTCAGTTGAGTTTTGCGCCCATGTTGGGCAAAAATTTCCACCATGGCATACGAGACATTCCCACGAGAACGAACGTGACGTTCTCCTCTTGGTTTGGACAACACAAACAAGTTGGGTGGAATTTCGGTGCAAGTCTACAGAGACTGTCATTCATAGTGGAACTCTTCAGCCGGAAATACATTTGCACAAAGCAATATAATGAATTAGGACTCGCTTGAGCTTTCGCGCTGTGCAATAAAGTTTGCGTTTGAATGCCTGAAAAAGTTCTCACAGTCATAAGAAGTCTCGAAAAGAATTTTTTTCCTCGAATTCCCCAGTGGGATTTGTTTAAAATTTCACTCACAGGATAGCTATATAGTTAGAAATTCATTTTGCCCATAGAAAGTTAAAGCAATTCCCTGATGTATTTCTTTTTTTCTCGTTTTCTCAGCTTCACAATAAAAGCAACTTGAGCAACAATGAAATTGGTTTCCTTTTGCTTAAAAATGCGATAGAGTTTGTAGCTCTTCATTAGATGACTAAAGAATTTCGCACAAGATTCCTCATGATATCCCGAAAAACCAAAATTCCTTTGTAGGTCGTCAGCGAGAGTGCGTGAAGCTAGAGTAAGATGTGATACTAGTTGAGTATCAGTATTCACATCCTCCTTTTGCTCCATGAACACACGCTCAATAGATAAGTTAGATCCTTTGAACTGAATACTCTATTGTCTTGAAAAACTTTGCTGTCGCTATTCTTGTAGTGACAGTCTTTTCCAGACCTCTAAAAGTGAACCTATCGAATATTTTATTTACTGTATCTCCTTCCTTGTTCCTTCTCTCGTATCCTGACAATTCTAGATTCTTTCCAAAACCAAGACTATTACAATCTCTATAAATAGCAAGAAATTTTGAAACAAGAAATTTTCAATTGGCATCTCTTTTGTACACGTATTATATATTGAAATTAAATTATAAAACAACTCCACAGAAGTTTCTGCATAATTTGAAATATTCAACGGCAACTTTAGACATGCTTTATTATGCCATTAAATGGCTTCATTATACTGGATTTGTTAGTTTTGCTTAAGGAATGAAAAGGCTTTGAAACAGAAATCACATTGGCAACGGTGGATTGTTCAAACTATGTATTAATAATAGAAAATGTCTCTTGCAGTCTGATAGTGGCTGATTGATTCTTGAAATAGAATAACTTGAAAGGAACAATTGAATATAATTCATATGAAAATTAATGATCCAATCTAAATAAGCATATCTTTGGCGAATACTTATCAGCTCACACTTCTATTTGAGATGAAAAACTGCACTTGAAGAGCCTTTCTTTGTGCTCATATCTCACCTCGAAAGTGCCTTGGAGGACACATTTAATTTATGGAGCACTTGGCCTTAATCGCTATCCTGTCTGGCTTGGTGACTTCGTTGAGATACAAAAGTTGAGGGTGAATGAATAAAAGCTCCAACATTCTCAGCAGGAATGAACATTCTACGAGTGACTCTCAGTCGTCCAATAAAAATAATTCATCCCAGAGGGAGAATTTCTTGTAGATCACGCCGATGGCAAGACTAAAAGGGGCGATTTTTTGCACTAATTGCACTTTTCTTCCGTCCCAATGCATTGTGCATAATAAACCGTTTTATTTGTGCAGTCTCTGCGGTATACACGCTATGTCTACGTCTAATTGGACTTTTGAGAGCAATCCAGTGCCACAGCCAGCACAACAGCACAACGAGAATTCCTCGGAAAGCTCTAGCCACCATCTCGTGAATTCCATTCAATTAATGCTTTTCGTTCATTATAGTGCAATACAATCGTTTCATTCTCCAGCAATGCTCTATTTAAACGTCTGCTTTCCCCTCTCCGTCTTACCATAAATTGGTCTCGGATAGAAATTAGTGTGAACGCGTTAGTGGAAATTAGTGGCATCTAAGCAAGCATCTAATACAATATTGGTTCATTAGTTGCAAAAAAGGGGGTTAATTGAAGTGGAAAATTGAACTCTATTCCCAACAAGGAATATACATTTCTCTTGTGTATGATGAAAGACAGAAAATGGCTGGAAATATAAAAGTTTGGTTGGATTTTGTTGAACGTGATGTTCAAAATTCAAGTCTCTTCTCTTCGCTGAATCGAACACAAATGGAAATAAGTTATGTCTACCACGCTATTTGATAAGAAGTTTGGTATATTCTCCAAGATATGTCTCATGTGAAATAGTGTAATTGAAAATTCAATATGATGTCATTTCCCCTAAAATGCTTTTGCATATTTTCACCATAAATTGTGGCATAATCTCACGACTCTGGTCGACACATTAATTAGACAGAAAGGCTGTTATCAGTGCAATTTGTCCTCAATCCGTAAAATTGATCCTCTCACAATATGAGGCCTCCTAAAGTACACTTTGCGTTATTGTTTAATTAAGTACAACGCAGAGTTAATGTACACAGATTCAGCCGCAAAAGCTATAGTGGTGGTTTTGCTGATATCATCCCGCAGCGTCCCTGGGAAAGTGCTGGCAC